AGTTTTTATTTTTTTATCGTTTTTTATTTTTTATTCTTATCCTTCTTACAAATTTTTTTTTCTTGTATGGCACCTATTGACAAAGAATCCCCTATCAACGATCCTAAATTTACTTATGTCGTAGGCATTGGTAAGTAGAGGCGCCCCCCTTTTTTTTTTCCTGTGTGTGTGTTGTAAAGTTAAATGATTTTTTGTAGATTTTGGCACAACCTATTCTGGAGCTGCCTATGTATTTACTAAACCTGGCAGCAACAAGGAAATTTGTGATATTTTAAAATGGTAAAGTTTTGCCGCCGCCCTCCGCCCTCCCCCCCAAAAAAAAAAACTGCCAATATTTTTAACAAAAATGAATTCAGGCCTTTAAACAGTGGAACAAATCTTGTCAAAATTCCAACGGCAATTCGATATCATAAACAAGATTTGGAAAAATATATATGCGCTTTAGAAGTATCAGAAAATAAAAGTAGGATAAAAGAGTACGATCCCATCAACTATTTGTTCAAGTTGCATCTTCACGAAGACACGAGAGATGGTATCCCTGATTTACCAGAGGGTAAGACAGTCACCCAAGTGATTGCGGATTATTTAAGATACCTTCATACTCATATCTGCAGTGAGATGAAAAGAAACTTGGGTACCAAAGTCGAAAATGAAGAAAATTTGAAGTCCTCCATTCGATATTGTATCACTGTACCTGCCATATGGTCCTCAAAAGCGAAATCCGTAATGCGACAGGCCACTATTCTAGCAGGTATTATTGACGAGCATGATCATGTGGACCGACTTGTGATGGTGGGTGAACCAGAGGCAGCAGCACTCTATGCCGAAAATATGAGTGGTGGTGTTAAAATCGCGTCCGGAAAGACTTTGATGATTGTGGATGCGGGTGGCGGAACCATTGATTTAACCACGTTTGAAAAAACAATTGAAGGAGAGACGAAATGTTTTAAAGAAATCACAGAAGGGATTGGAAATACCTATGGCTCATCTAGATTGGATTTAAATTTTAAAGAATATATTTTACAAAAAATGGAGCATTATCCCGCACTTATTCCGATTCAGCTAGTAAATTTGGTAGATGATTTTCGAAAGAGAGTCAAGGTAAGAGAAAAAACAGGAAGAGGGGAAATGTTTTAAACTCTGTTTTGAACAGATTGATTTTGGAGATATGCATGAAGATCGTGTTTACTTTGATGTAGTCTATCATGGACAGATCCGGGATGATGGTTTTAGTTTGGATGAAAAAGGACTTACTATTTCAACAAAAGTGTTGGAGGCTGAAGTATTTAACCCTGTCATTCAGGAAGTGATCCAGTTGGTTCAATTCCAACTTGACCGATTGAATGGTACTCCATTAGACTACATTATCATTGTAGGTGGGTTTGGTCAAAACAAGTATTTAATTGAAAAAATCAAGGAAAATTTTGCAAGTAAAGTAGGTGATGTTATTGTTCCCGACGGGGGAGAGGTAGCGGTAACAAGAGGCGCGGTCTATTTTGGTCTGGATCCTTACTCTATCAGCCACAGAAGAATGAGACTTACTTATGGTATCAATATTAGCTCTCCCTTTATTGAAGGTGTGGATAGATTGGATTATAAAAGAACAGACAGTGAAGGCAAGGATATTTGCATTAACCGTTTTGATGCCATCGTCAAAAAAGGTGACGATGTGAGTATTCAAAATGGATATACTAGGACTTATTACACTTTTAATTCGGGAGCCTGTCATCTTAGTAAGTTACTTTTTCTGTTTCTTGTTACAGATCGTTAACCTTTTTTTCTTTTCTTTCTTCTTATAGAGATATATGGGTATGACGACGACACAGTCCCACGCTATGTTTCAGACACTGTTCTACGCAACGGATCAAAAACTGTCAAGACGAATGAAGACTCTGGTAACGAAGCATACAAGGTGGCTGAATTTGTCTTTAACTTGCCTGAAGGAAAGCCTGGAAAAAAGACTGAGTTCACCATGACAATGTTTTTCGGACACATGGAAATTAAGGTTGAAGTCGCTCTACCAGGGGTTGATAAAAAGGAAACATTCACAGCATCTTATGATCATCGTGCAAGTTGAATAATGTTTAACATCAAGCAAACCTTTTATTTTATAATTAATTTAATTCGATGCCTAAACGCTGAATTTTTTTACATGATATTACTAAATAACCAGATTATTCAATGTGTTATTTGTTAAAATTAAATAATGATTGCTCTTTTCGATAATAAACTTTTATTTTTATTTATTTCTTTAATGCACAACGTAAGAATACCCCCGATTTCTACTAAGTATATTTATAAATGTGCAAGACAGAGAGTCAAAAAAAAAGTTGTTTGTATCAACAGGTTTGATCCTGTTATTGTCCAAAAAGGGAGAATAAGCTGTAGTCACCACCAGAATCTTTAATTCGAGATGTCAGTACCAAGTTGTGATGGTATGACGCCGAAAAAACAATGTTATGTTTCAAAGTGAAAGAGCAAGTGTAACCTTCACGTGATGGTAACGAGGCGTATTTGGTTTACTCAAGTGCATTCACAGACGTAGAGTTGTTAATTCCAGATGGACTCTTCAAATCGCACAGATAGAGTCTTTTGTAGTTTCTCTTTGGGCTGACCAAGGTACAGTGAGGTTGAAAAAGGGGAGGCGTAATCCGGTAAGCATGGTGATAAAAGACCAACCCACACAAGGGCCTGGTTCATTTTACACGCATTTTAAAATAAACAAAATAGAAATTAAAAAGCAGCTGATCCCTTCTCAATTTAAATAAAAATCATGCAGCACTTTTTTTTTAAAACTCCCGGTTTAAAGCTTATAAATGAGTCTCCCCTATATAGAGAAAGGAAAGAGAAGCACTTTTTGTTTGGGGTTACTCCTAAGATACAACATGATTGGAAAAAAGAAAAGCAGAGATTAGGATGGTGGAGACTTATTGAGGGGATTCTGTACCTTACCTAAAATAGATAAAGACATCAAGATGCATAACAACAAAATGATGGGTTTGCTACACACCTAAAAAAAAAAAAAAAGATGACTCGATTATTTTTATAAAGGTTTTCTTGTAGCATCTTGTTTGTTGTTGTACAAAATGAGTGGAATTTTATTTTAAATTGCATTTTTTAATTGTCTGTCAAAAATATTAACAAAATAGATTTTTTCAAACCTCCTCTCACCCCTTGAAAATACCTGGGTCCTAACCAAACCCCCATTCCACTTTTGACGATTGTAATTTACAAATTGACATTTTTTTTTTTTTAAAAAAAAAAAAAAGCGGATGACTTTTATGATGTAATTTTTTTTAGCATAAAACACGTATAAACTAGGCAGTATCTGTCCATCCTACTCTTTTTTTTTTAAAATGAACAAATGTATGCACGGATATCACACATGTATCGAATTTTCCAGCTTTTTTATGATTAATCGTAATGCATTTTGCATAATCATACAATAAAAGGCTTTTTTTTTATATAAATCACGTAAAAGAGTCTTAGTGCGGGAAAAGGGCTTTTTATTTGTTATATGCAAGTATGCTTAATCCCAATAAAAAGAGGGGCGGATGACCTAGACTGGGAAAGGCCTTTTTTTTTCTTCTCACAGGTAAAGTAAAAATATATATACAACGTTTTTTTTTTATATAATAATAAATAAATCATGATAATAAAAAGGAAACAGGTAGATAGAGTAATAATCCACCAAAGGGAAACATAAAGACAGTTAAGGTCCATCCTAGCTTAAAAGCAATGGATCGAGTGGACATGAGTGCACCATAGACAATCCATAGATCCATGAGTAATATAAGAGCACCAAGAATCATGGGCGATTGATCTGTAGTTTTTCGATATAAAGACATACGGAGAGAGAGAGAGAGAGAGATAGACAGAAAGAAAGAAAGAAAGAAAAGAAAAAAGAAAAAAGTTCATTATTTATTACTACTTGTACGACAATAACAATCTAGAAGCCACGGTAGTCATTCAACAAGATCCGTAAACCTTCTTGCGGTAACCAATTTTGTCTTTTAGTGTTGGCAATGATGGGTGTAGCTACTTCTGGATTTGACGCTCGCTTTTTAATGATACGGTGTCTGTATAGATCCAAGTTGTTTACAGAGGAAGAACAAGAGGAATCCGTCTTTTTATCATCCTCATCTTCTTCTTCGTCTTCTGATGAGGAGTAGTTTCTCATCAATGATGAATCATCCCTAGGACTACTTGCAATAGGTTCTTGAAGTGATTGAATCGTACCTTGAGCCTGCTCAAGCATATGTGTATATTCGCGCATTCGTTCAGCCACATCAAGCACACTGCCTTGATGTTGTTTCTGATAGTCTGCAATAGTGGATATACGTCCTTTTAATTGACCAGTTTCGTAAACAACCTACAAAAATTTAGATATGAGTAACGGGATCTTTTTACAAACACATACACAAATAGATATATTTACGGTGGCCAAATTGGTGTGAATGTGCCGCATCGCCCGCGTTGCATACACATCTGATTCTCTTTGCTTGTTTACAGTTTTTTCTAATAAAACTTGAAGGTTCACATTGACTTCCTGCGTGGCAGTTAAACCTTTTTCGATTTCACCTAGAAACGAACTGTTAGTCTAAATTGGTACACATGGTGATAAATGCGAAAACTTACGGACTCGATCTTTTGAATGATTCTTTAATATAAAGCGGTGAAAAGTTAGTGTGTGTATGTGTGTGTTGAATGAACATTCCAATTAACCAAAAGAGTTGAACTTACAAGATCGATTTCCATACCGTCCATTTGCTTTGCCAAACCGTTCATTTCATTTCTAAAACGAAGGATATCTTGTCTTACTTGGCCTATTTCTCTCAAGAATTGATTTTTCTCGTGTAAATCATCGTTTAAATAATTATGACTGATAGGTGTAGAGTAAGATGTACAAAGCTAATAATAATAATAAAGGGGATTTTTTTTTGGGTAAGTCTCGTTTCTCTCCTATTCTTCTTTCTCCTTATTCTTTCTGCTTTTTCTTTTTTTTTGTTGTTGTTGTTGTATTACCTTTTCACGATAATAGTTGTTGGATTCTATTTTGTTTGTAAGTTTTCATGCAAAAAAGATTGAATTATCATGTGAGTAAGGTACCTTTAGCACGTCTCATTGCCCAGTTATTACATTGAAACGACTCCGAATCACTAAAAGACAGCTATTGGGAATAAGAAAGTTAACAAAGAAGAAAATAAGAGTCAGATATATAAATGATTTTTTTTACCTGGGCATACTCCTCGAGATTCATTTATAGATACATGAAAAAGCACAGAAAATTCAGGTACCAAAAAAAAATAAAATGTAATAAATTATATATTTATAAAAAGAAGAAACAAAAAAAAAATTAAAATTGGGTGCTCTTTTATAATTATCTTGTAAAGCTACGTCACCTTTTTTTTTTCCCAAAAAAAAAAGCATGTTTCTTTTCCTTTCTCTTCACCCCCCAACCCCCAATTTAGGATTGCATAATTGGCTTTTAATTCGTCATTTAATAACTTTACTCTCCTTGCATAAGATGGATGGGCAAATTTTTTTGTTTTTCGTTCGGCGTACAAGAAAACAAATGGAATTTTGTTTATTTATTTTCGCGTATAAAATTTCTATTTTTAAGTGAGCTACCAAACTATTGGTGCCTTTTTTCCTAATCTCTGTTATATGAAATGAAAATGACGTTTCTAATTGTGTTCATCAATGTGATCTCTCTCTTTTTTTTATAGCAATCATGATACGCCTCATTTGTGTGCAAAAAAATTGAGCTTCAACATTACGAAATTGTGCCTTTTTTTTTTTCATGCGCACAGAGGTTTTTTTTTTTGTAAGACCGCGCCTTATTTTACACTCTAATCATTTTAAAACCTCATGGTTTTTCTCTAAAAAAAATATAATCGTGTGATTGTGACTCTACATCCCCAGAACACAACTAATTTCCTATAAAATAACATACCATGTATGTACTTTCTTTTTTTTTGTCACTGCAACTTTTAGTCAGATGATATTTTCATGTACACACTTTTTTTCTTCTTTCATAAAAAGGATGAGGTCATGCAACGTGTGTGTTTACAAAGAGTTTTTATAAGTGCGCGCGGGACTTTAAAAAATTATTATATGGGGGAGGGGGGATGTCTTTTTTTAGGTTTTGCAGATACATCATTACATTAAAAAATGTCTACGAAACGCTCACTTCAACACTTTGTGGTGGTTTCCAAATGTAGAAGAAATAATGTGATTCTACCCAAATTGGCCACTCGACGTTTCTATGCAACTCGAAATAAAAAAATAGAGGCTTCCATGGGCGGCATATTCGAGCCTTTTCTTAATGAAAGCATGTGAGTCTTCTATTTTTCACCCCATTCCTTTCTCTCTCAAACTAATGTAACTGTAAAGCGAAAAGAAGGTAGTAAAACAAAAAGTCATTACACCAAAAGAATTACTCCATAAAGTAACTGTAAAAGGTATATTTTTATTTATTTTTTTAAAAAAACCACCTGTCAAAAAAAGAAGGCTCATAAAAGCGACCATGTAGACCTTTTACCAGAAGAGGAATTACTCAACATGGCCATCGCCAATAAACAAATCAGTCTTTCTGTCGACACACAAAAGGAAATTACTCGTATCTTACTAGACAACTTGGTACATGATGGTACTGAGAAAGAAAAGATATGTCAATGTACGGTACAACGATGTCTTGTTCTTTTCTCTCAACTAACATTTTTTTTCTTAGTGGCCAACGGACAAGGCGCTCAATTGACAGCACTTGGAAATATTTTACTAAAAAGCTCCCAATGTAAGTTATTCGCACACTCATTATCATTCACCTAAAGATAGAACTAATCCCACCCCCGAGAATAGTTGGTGCACCACTGGCTTTGGCATTATACAAATTAGGCATGGAAAAGGGAGACGACGGAGGTGCGTTTAGTTATGCCAACATGATTTACAGAGGCTACAGAGGCACTGCCAAAAATGAAGACGAAGGTATTCGAATTCTATCCCAATTGGCACAAAAGGGTCACCCTTATGCACAAATGAATCTAGCGGCTATTTTGATGCGTACACAACCCGATCGCATTGAATCTGCCATTAAATTATACGAGTTGGCTGGTCGTGCTGGACTCGATAAAGCCTATAGTGAATTGGGTCGTATGTATCGTTTAGGCTATGGTGTACATCAGGATCATAAAAAGGCCATGGAATATTTTCAGATGGGTGCACAAAAGGGTAACCCTCAATGTAACTTTATGTTGGGTGTTTATTGCTCCTCGGGTCTGGGCAACGAGGAACGTAAACCGGATCAAGTGAAAGCGTTTAAGCATTTCCAAAAGGCTGCTGTCAAGGGGATGGCTGAGGCACAGTATAATGTGGGCCTGCGTTTTTTGAAGGGACATGGTGTGGAAGCCAATAGTTTTAACGCGGCAGAATTCTTTCGTATGGCTGCTTCACAAGGCTTTCAATTGGCCCAGATTAATTTGGCCGGTATGTACTCGGAAGGAAGAGGTGTCAAGAGTGATTTAGATGAAGCTAGACAATGGTTAGAAAAAGCAGCTGCTACAGGGGGTTCCATCGGAAAAGATGCACAAAAAAGAATAGACGAACTTGATCAAATTCAAGGCAAAAAGAGAGATAAATGCTCCATCATGTAATAAAGTTTTCCTTCACACAAAAAAAAAATCAATTTTTATTTTTTTTCCCATTATTTTTTTATACAGGCAGGAGAAAAAAAAAAGATATCGTATTGTTTTCTTTTTTTATAACTTGGATAGTCAATCGGTAAGAGCGACACATTCAATTTCAACAGCAACATCCAAGGGGAGACGAGCAACTTGAACAGCAGAACGAGCAGGTTGATGAGTAGAGAAGAACTATAGTTGATTTGTTAATATCACACTCTACACACTCTACACATATATAACTTACAGAAGCATAGATCTCGTTCATGGCAGCGAAATCGTTCATATCTCTAAGGAAAACGGTAGTCTTGACAACCTTTTCAAGGCTAGATCCAGCAGCCTTAAGAACTTCGGTCAAGTTGAGCAAAACTTGCTTGGTTTGATCTTGGACACCACCATCAATCACCTTGGCTACGATATTCCCATTTTTTTTTTAGTTTTTTTGTTTAAAAAACCTTTTTTTTTTTTTTTTTTTTTTTTTTTTTTTTTTTTTTTAGTTTCCCAGCGCTCAAACTTACCAGTAGCAGGGTCGATGGCAACTTGGCCAGAGGTATAGACAAATCCATTAGCCTTGACAGCTTGACCTATATACATATCATTTGGTATGAGTCTCTTATTATCGACGCGTGTATTTTTTTTACAACATAAAAAAACGTCAAAAACTTACAATAAGGACCGACAGCAGCGGGAGCAGTAGCAGTGTCTACATTATATCTTTTTTTTTAGCAAAAGCCCACTTATTTTTTAACCGTGTATATTCAGCAAAATTACTTACGGACAACAGTGAGAGACATGGTAATGAGGAAGATAAAAAGAAGTGAGTTTTTGATTTTTTAAAAAATCGAAAAGAACTTATAAATGAGTCTATCAAAGATGAAATGATTTGATTGGATGACTGTCTTTTTTTCTGGATAAAGTTTAAGCAAATGAAAAAACTCGTAGCACTTATTTTATCCGTGCGAAAAAATATATATGTGTGTGTGGGGATGAGAGTTTGAAAATTTTGAATGACAGATGCGAGATGGGCTTTTTCTTGTTCCCAAAACGTAATTATCTCATAAAATAGGATCCTAACTAACTAGCTAAAAAACTTGATTTCCCTTTTTTTTTTTGATGCAAAAAAGACTATATATATATATAAACTCATTGTAGTAGTATACGTGGTTTTATCACTCCATAAACAGCTAGAAAGAAATAGTAGGATAGATCCAAAAGATCACTCCTAAAAATAGAAATCTTAAGGTAGATGTCTAAAGTATATCCAAGCGAGCTTATACATGATAAGAGTGCGTGCTTTTCATCGTATAAGTATGTAAAATAGAAAGACACATGATGATTTTTCCTCATCATCATCATGTTGATAGTGATGACCCCAAGACGCAATGAACTAATCCTATATACCTATACGCATTGTTACAAAAAAAACACTGTCTAGAGAAGAGAAAATGAATACCATGCTTTTAAGAAATACAAATGTCCATCATAATATTTAGCACTGATGGAAAAGAGAAAACCAGAATAAATCGATGTCTACACGCGTAGGTGCTACAATTAAACATGCGTGCTTTAGTCCGCAGTCCTTCTGTCCTCCCCAAAATACAAATGAAAGTATACTATTGTTCGGAATATAGCTTGAAATTAATATATCTTTTTTTTTATTATAATTATTTTGTTTGGAAAGTTATAGATTTGTGTTGTACAATATATGTTTTTTTTTGAGAAAAAAAAAAGAAGAGAAAAAGGCCAAAAAAAAAAAGGGTGGGGTAGGGTAGGGGGGGATATAAAGAATGATGTGTGTGTGTGTGTGTATGTGTGTGTATGTTGTTGTTTTATGCCCATATTTTGAGATAACTGTCCCAACTACCGGTACATAAGGCCATACCATCATTGGATACACCCAAACAAGAGACTCTGTTTTCATGGCTTGTTAAAATACCTACACGTTCGCCCTTCAGAGTATCCCAAACATGACTACTGAAATCATCATAACCTGCAAATAAGAGTCGTCCAGAGGCAGAAAAGGCCACAGAGGTGATACCGTACAAGATACTCTCGTTCGTATAGGAGTTTAACTCTCGATCAGCACGCAAATCGAACAAGCGACAACTTGCATCATCTGAACCTGTACCAATAGCCATACCACTAGGGAAGAATCTATTTGAAAAAAAAAGAGACAAAGGTAGTTTAGTATGTGTGGATATATATATATATTTATATAGACGTTAATAAGGAGAAGAACTTACTGCACAGAGTTGATGTCACTTTCGTGACCAGTAAATGTTTGTACACAGTTTCTGGTTCTGATGTCCCATATTTTTGCTGTAGAATCACAAGCACCGGAGACAAACATATTAGGGTCAGTAGGAGAGACGGAGACACTCATGACATCACCGTTGTGATCCGCAAATTCATGAGTTTTGACGCCTGCATCAATATCCCACATGAAGCAAGTCATATCACCGGAACTGGTCAAGATACGACGGTCGTCTAGGAAACGACAACAACTGAGGTAACCTACGTGAGCAGATAATTCACGAGCGGGTCGAACAGGACCATCACGTGAATTTAAATTATAAATGGAACAAATATTATCGAGACCACCGCAGGCCACGAAATTACCAGAGGGTGCATAGGCTGCTGTCATGACCCAAGCAGAACGAAGTGGAATAGCATGTAATTTATTGGTCGTGTAGGCGTTCCAGACAATTAATTTACCATCTTGTGAAGCAGATACAAGGTGTTGACTATCGTTAGACCAATGCATAGCGTAAATCTTTGCTAAATGCCCACGTAAATTACGACGTACTTTCATCACCAATCGAGGTAACGCTTCCACTTCCTTGGCCATTTTTCTCACTGCAGTAAAAAAAAAAAAGTGAGCGGGATAAATTAGTTCTTTTTTTTTTAATAATAATATTCATAAAGAAAAAACCTTACGTGTTGTGTCGGCTAATGCTTCTTTTCTTTGTTTGATTCTTTCTTTCAAGAGATCTGCATCTCGACGTGCTGCTGCAATTCTCTCGGAAATGTCATCTTGATTTTGCATGTTGAAGTCTTGACAAGTCTAAATTTCTTCGTCGCTACTTTTTTGTTTGGTGGTTTTTTATTAAAAAAAAAAAAAAAAGAGAGAGAGAGAGTTTTTTTTTCGAGAAAAAAAAAAAAGTAGTAAAGAAGAAAAAGAATAATAATGAAAAAAAAAAGGTTTTTTTTTCATATATCGTTAAAGTTGTACCAGGTACCAATATAAAATTTCGATTCATTTGAAAGACAGATTTTTTACAAAAACCTTTTTGTTTCCTCTGTTTCTCCTCTCTTTTCTTTCCCTTTTTGGAGAACACAAAAAAAGATTCTATGTGTACACAAAAGAGCCTCATTCTTTTTACCCTTCAAAAAATAAAAAAAGATGATCTTTTTTTTTTTCCGTTGATGAAATCACAAAAACGATTTTTCTCAACTATTAAAAAAGCAGTTAGATTCAATTGCTCTTTCGGAGAACCGAGAACACGTTTTTCTTCTCTCTTTTTTTTTTTCTTTCTTTCTTTTGGGTTGTAAAGAGGATAACAATGGCCATAATTCTCTTTTTCAGATCCTTTTTTTTTTTCATCACAAGTAAGCAGCCTTCCCAATTCAAATAGCAATTACAAAACAAGTTCAAAATAACAATAGCCCAAAAAAAAAAAAGTACAATAATAATACACAAAATCTTGTATTCCTGTGTCACATCAATACATTTTTTTTGTTTCTCTTTTCATTTTTTGCATTACACATTTCATTTTATTCAAAAAAATAAAAACTCCTTTCAGTGTACCTCAATAAATCCAGTGAGGGGGGTTTATTTTCTTTCACTTGATCAAAGATTTGATTTTTTCCCTCTTTTTTTTCTTCACTTTTAAATGACACACACACAAATCTTGTCTGATCGATGGGCTTTACGCCATACACAATGGCATGATTTTCTTTTTTTTTGTAAGAGAATTACTAACCTCAATGGGCTCTTATTTTATACAACTGATCTACTCACAGCCAAGCGACTCTATGCACCCCAGACACAATTAAAAATAAAAACGTGTCATTTAGTGTAGTACTAAAACAGAAAAAAAAAAGTGGTTTATTTAAATGTGTGTGTGTGGGGAATAGGTATACAATTTTTAATCAAAAGAAACGGCCCACTTGTCGTTGTCATCGAGACCTTCGAAAGCAGTCACTTCGTTCTCGCCATCAGCCAAAGAAATCTCATGAGAGTGGAGGAGCTTACCAGTAGCAACATGGCGAAGAATGACGGGTTGGTCAACACGCCAGAACTAAATAGAATGAGTTGAATATATATTTAAATGCATTGGATACATATGAGTGAACTTACATCGTCATATTGCTCGTCATCTTGATCGTATTGTTCAACTCTCCAAACATCGTTTTCGTCAGTAGAGTCATCATCACCGAAACAAGAAACTTCTTGTTGACCAGAGACGGGACTCTCAATCTCATGAGAGTGGAGGTTGGCACGGTCAGTCACGTGCTTGAGACGAATGCTATCCTCGAATCCAACCTCGTAACCAGCCTCTTCTTCAGTAATGGTAGGAGGAAGAACAATCCAGGTGCTTTCATCGTTAGGAGATCCTTCTAAAGTGAAGACCTTATGTAAAAAAGAAACCCCATCAGTTTCTGCCTCCTCTTTTCACTTTCTCTCTCTTTTCTCTCTTACCTTTTGTTGGAAAGAACCACTTTCGTAAGTGCCTTGTTGGGAAGTAAGATAACGGTTGGTAGAGACGTGCTTGATTGAAACATGATCACTGTACATTCTGTTAAGACTTTTTTTTTTTTATACAATGCATCACACTTTTTTGCTTACCCGAAGCGAATGATACCATCTTCTTGAGGACGAGACATATTTTTATTATATATAAAAAGGGATAATGAAAAATAAAAAAACAGTATCGAGAGTGCTTTTTTTTCGTCCTTTTATAAACTATTTTTTTGCGTGAGTTTAAAAAAAAATCTGACTGGCTTGTAGCTGACACGTAATGCATCACTCAGATGTACTTTTTGTTTTAATTTTTACGTTTAACCGAATTCTAACTCCCTTTTATTTTTTTTCCATGACGACACATAGAACCTTATTCTCTATCATTTTCTCACATGAATAGACGCGTTGAACACAGGATGTTTATGGTCATTCTCTCCTGGGGTTTCTTGATAAACAACAAGAAAAACACGAAAAAAAAAAGTCGAGTTTAAAAAAAAAAAAAAAAGTTTCGGCTTCAAATTCAGGCATACATTTTACTGCCAAGTTTCCTTTTTAATTGTCTAATCCGCTTTTAGTGAAAAAAAAAAGAAAGTATCCGGCAAGAGCAATTATCTTAAGTTCTCTCATTTTGACAGTTTGGTTTTTTATTTTTTTAATGGCAGTAATTGGACTAAATAGAGAGTTTATATGTAACGCTGGTAACCCCATGTATGGAGGAGGACCACTTAAGGTCATCTTTTTAGCTTTACGCAACTACTATTATATTAAGAACTATTGAACACCTTACCTAAAGACGCAATGGCTGTAAATTGAAAGACTGAAGAGAATTCATAACAGGTAAATTTAGATTGCTGATGAATAATCAAGTTACATGAATTGGACGAGTATCTTGAAAACAAGTAATAATTTAAATAAACCATCATGTGTAAGAGAAGCGCAACTACCTGAATTTCATTCCTGACATTTAATACTTTTAAGATCTTGCTTAAATTATTCTTGTTATAAATTAAAACGTACCCACTTTGCTCTTCTTGTCAATACAAAGTTACAGGGTAAAACGGATCATGGCGGTGTTATACTATCATGAGGCCAAACACTTAGTGATTTACATCGTTCGAAGAAAAAAAAAAGACGCGTCCAAATATTTCAATATCAGCTATCAGAATGGATATGCGTTCACTGGATTATTGTCTATTAGTATTAAATGTTAAGATATATCAGTGAGAATACAAATGTCAATATACGACTAAATCAGGAGGCTTTTTAAGTAACTGTTATTGTGAATAGCGGAAATAGGTGGTTTTTCTTAGAATACAATTGGGGCGGTCAGTTCCCAAAAAAAACTAATTGAGCAACATAAACTTTTTTTGGTGGTCAAATGATGAAATGCAGTTCTTGGCAGAATAATAAGAACTCGGCATGAAAACAGTCTAAAAAAAAAAGAACCTTAATTTTTCCACTGACGGGTCCTCTTCCCTCCCTCCCCCCACGTAGTTTTTTAAAGAAGAAATAGCAAACAAACATCAATTGGTGTGTTTGCTGGTGGAGCTCCCCTAACCCCTACCCCAATGAAGATACTTCCCCCCAGGATAAAAATGTGATAAAAATTAACACCAGGGACGCGACATGGATTTTCAAAACCCAGCATATATATTTTCTGTAAAAAGATTTTTTGGTCACACACGGCATTATATAAAAAAAATGACATGAATATGACACCGCTTTTTTTATAATATCTACAGGTTTTTAGTCTTAATTGGTACGCTTGATTTTTTTTTTTTTGGTAAAACACACACTTTATTATTATTTTTTGGTACGTTACGCTATGATACGTTACGATACGATTCGCTACGCTACCATACGCTACGCTTTTTTTTAAAAAAATGTCTCCATTCTTATTGGTCGGCTTGAGTTAAAAATCAGATTTGATTTTTTCATTGGGGTACGATACGATACGATACGATACGCTTTTTCTTGATTTTACTTTACAAAAAAAAAAAAAAAAAAAAAAAGCCTGATTATTTCAACACTGGTAAAAATAAGAAAGAATATTATAAAAACAAACACTCTCTTATATGAAATTGTTTAGACACAACTGACAGCAACCCCCTCTATAATCGTAGGCCAGGAACTGACTTAATTAGTAAACTGGTACTAACTGACACACAAGTAATATTCGCGCTATCAAAAGCTCTCGTTCCAGAAGCGGCAGAAGACAGCTACGTTTCGGTGCCTACAGAATTCATAAACGAAAAAAAAAATGTGAGGTTCTTTATGCTCCTTCTAATCCCTTGAGTTCGTTTCCTCCAATATTGGTGGAGGTGCAAAATAAGGTCGATGAAAAGTTTTTGACACGCGCCATTCAGTACTGTACCCTCACATTTGAGCGCTACAACAGACTCCCTATAATTGTAATATTTGGCATTGCAAATGCTACAGCGTCTTTAATGAGAAAGACTGAAGATAGCGATTTCCCCTTTGCCAGACAGATACAAAGCATTGGATGGGCTGAGCGTTGTCTGCTGCTCACTTCCTCAATATTACAGGTAAATCAACAAGAAGAGATATTACATCCTTTGCAAGCGGTTGGTCATTTTCTCTGCTCTCAATCTCTCTCTATAAATACTTTGGATTATGGAAATAATGACTCTTTGATGAAATTACTTTATGCAATTGCTCAGCGAAATCTTGATCAGATAATTGGAGAAGAAACCGAAAAACTGGAGGCCGTAAAAAACATTTGTGACATCAGTGAAACTCAGCTTCAAAAAGTAAAAAAAAATGCCTGGAACAAGAAGATAAAGTTTCAAACAAAAGAGCATTGAGCTATGTGGATGATACTTTGTCGTTTATACAGCGACAGAAGGAAATACTGTGACGCTATTGAAACAACTCCAGTTGAAGAAACCCCTCCTACAGTTTATCTGAACAAAAGATGGCCCACAAGCGCTCTAGAGCCTGGTAACACAAAACTTGATACAGAACTATACGAATTCGTTCAACGTTTTAAAAGTGGAAAAACAGATATGATTAATTGGAAAAAATGCTTTGAACAAGGTCATCTTGAAAAGATAAGCTCAATCAAGCGATTCAACAACAGCGAGAGTTTACGCTGCCATTATAATAGGAAATTCAAATAAACTATTTTATTATAAGCTATCGTTACATAATATAACTTTCTCATTGCTCGTAATAGCAATTATAATATCTAATAATGGATAGTGTCTTACTTTACTCTTGTTGAGCTTAATATCTTCTGATGACACCAACATGCACTGCTTTGCCCAAAATGCACACGTTATTTCTCTAAAAAGTGGGAGATCGTGGTGCTGCAAGCTTTGTTCAATAATTTTTTCATCAAGTTGCTGGACAACGATGATCACACAAATAGGAAGAGTCTTATATTGTTCAAAAATGTTGGTACGTGGTTGAATGATTTGATTAAATTTCTTTTCTTCAAAGGTCTCAATAATATTTATGACTATAGGAGGCAAATCAGTTTTAAGACTACAAGGAGTATACAGGACAGCACCAAAATTTTGATGCATAAATTCTGGAGGTTCAACAACATATGAATCTTTTTCTGCTTTAAAGATTGTTGTAGTTATGACGTTGCCGATTCGTTTATCAGTTAAAACAATCTTGCTGACCAAATCAATGCTAGGGAGGTATTCAGTTGGGACAATAAAATTACAAAACTCTTGGCCGTTTTGATCTAAAAATTTTCTTTGCATGTAAAAGCGAAACTATTTACATCTTTAATGTTCATTTGACTTTCCATTCATTTCTAGCAAAATTGTTTTACAGAAGAAAAAAAACTACCGCAGACCTTCGGCCTGCTTGTGCTCCCGATCGTATTGTAGCGTATCGTACCGTAACGTATCATAGCGTAACGTACCAAAAGATAATAATAAAGTGTGTGTTTTACCAAAAAAAAAATCAAGCGTACCAATTAAGAATAAAAACCTGTAGATATTATAAAAAAAGCGGTGTCATATTCATGTCATTTTTTTTATATAATGCCGTGTGTGACCAAAAAATCTTTTTACAGAAAATATATATGCTGGGTTTTGAAAATCCATGTCGCGTCCCTGGTGTTAATTTTTATCACATTTTTATCCTGGGGAGGAAGTATCTTCATTGGGGTAGGGGTTAGGGGAGCTCCACCAGCAAACACACCAATTGATGTTTGTTTGCTATTTCTTCTTTAAAAAACTACGTGGGGGGAGGGAGGGAGGAGGACCCGTCAGTGGAAAAATTAAGGTTCTTTTTTTTTAGACTGTTTTCATGCCGAGTTCTTATTATTCTGCCAAGAACTGCATTTCATCATTTGACCACCAAAAAAAGTTTATGTTGCTCAATTAGTTTTTTTTGGGAACTGACCGCCCCAATTGTATTCTAAAAAAAACCACCTATTTCCGCTATTCACAATAACAGTTACTTAAAAAGCCTCCTGATTTAGTCGTATATTGACATTTGTATTCTCACTGATATATTGTAACATCTAATACTAATAGCCAATAACCCAGTGAACGCATATCCTGTCTCACCTCCATTCTGATAGCTAATATTGAAACATTTGGACGTGTCTTTTTTTTTTCGAACGATGTAAATCACTAATTGTTTGGCCTCATGATAGTATAACACTGCCATGATCCGTTTTACCCTGTAACTTTGTATTGACTATAATAAACCTCTAGAATAAGATGTCATCTATGGAAATATCACGATACCTTTCTGGATGCTTTGTGCCCCAATGATGTAAAGCCGGTTGGTTTTAATAAAAAAATGTCTAGTCAAGTGAGTGACAAAGGCTTTTTGTTATAAGTGCATCAATAAAGTTTTTTTTGTAGTTACCCAACCACTTGGCGATTTTTTTCTAAAGCGGTGATAACGATTAACGTGCGAGTCAATGATAGACTTGAATCATCAATATTCTTTTTTTTTCAGTGTGTTTGATTTACAACAGACATCTTGACTTTTTTTTGGGGGGGAGTAAGCTCTTTATTAAATGACATGCAAATCACATGATTGAATCTAGAAGTCTTACTTGAAATCCATAATCATAGGGCTGTAACAAGCTGCAGACGTAATATCACCCTTGTTTCCATAGAAATCAGAAGTAAAGTTTTCATAAAACTTTTGTCTTTTTGTAGTGTTTAATTCAGAGAAAAAAAATGGATCCATTATCAACTAACCCTATTCATGAAACTTTGCCTAAACAAGATGTTGACAAGAAGAGCAAAGTGAGTACGTTTTAAATGTCAGGAATGAGATTTGGATAGTTGCGCTTCTCTTACACATAATGGTTGATTACTTGTTTTAAGATACTCGTCCAATTTATGTAACTTGATTTTTCATCTGATTCAAATCTACCTGTTATGAATTCTCTTCAGTCTTTCAATTTACAGCCATTGCGTCTTTAGGTAAGGCGTTCATTAGTTCTTAATATAATAGTAGTTGCGTAAAGCTAAACAGATGGCCTTGAGTGATCCTCCTCCATACATGGGGTTAACAGTGTTACATTATAAACTCTCTATTTAGTCCAATCACTGCGATTAAAAAAATAAAATAAAACTGTCAAAAATGAGAGAACATAAGACGATTGTTCTTGCCGGATACTTTTTGCATTTGGTAATTAATAAATAAAGCAGTTAGAGCAAAGGAACGTGACGGGTTTGATTCAAACAGGGATTATACCTGTTTTGATAATTTTTTTTTGACGTTTGATCCATACTAAATCATCATTAGGGAGGCTCAAGTAACTTTTAAGTTTCGATTTTTTTTTTTTTTTTTTTCTTGGACAATTTTAACCTCACAACAAGTGTCAAACTTTGGATAAAATCGAGCGTGAGAAAGCAGATAGTAAATTATGGATTAATCCCCCCTCCATTTTTAAAAGATGTTCATATCAGTAGAAAAGAGAACGCTTTAAGGAATAGAATACTTTTGTTTTTGACAGAAGAACATCAGCCCACATCCTAATTAATTTAATATTCTCATAAAGCTAAATTATAAATTGGTTTTTTAATTTCTTTGGACACGTTTTTTATGCTCCCAAAAGTCAGTTGTGGCGATTGTGTAACATGTACGTTGACACTGATATTGTTTTAATTAATGTATTCATTGTCCCCCCCCTCCTTCAAGCTACACGCTCATCATTATACACACACACACACCAATAAGAACAAGACAAAAAGAAAGGAGGGCATTCACACTAATTGTTGTTTATTTGTTATACTGGCAGCCCATCTTGCGAGATCAACCTTTTCCGTTGCAGCAGATACGAGATATGGATGATTCTAAAAATGACGCCCAAAACCCGCCCCACACAAAGTTAATTAACATTTTCCTGATATTAAAATAAATCGCACGTTCTTACCATTAAATCATTGGGTGTAGCTCTCAATAAAACATCTTTGGTTAAACTTTTTAAAGGAGATTAATTACAAGTGTCTCGTGTCATATATATATATTTGAAGTGTCCCCCTCTACTTACCATTTCGCAACGAAATCAGTTAAATCAGCAGGATACTGATTATTGGATGGGAACGCCGGAACGGGTTCATGAACAATGTGTTGTAATAATTCAAATATGGATAGAGGTGTACCTTCTGGAGGAAAAGGAAACCTTCCCATTGCTAATTCCATCAGTGTAATACCTAATGACCAAACATCCGATTTGACAGAATAAGGTGAGCCCATAATACGTTCAGGCTGTATACATACATAAAAAAAAAAAGGTCGCATACGGATAAGTAAAAATTACACGAATACTTTTTTAAACATTGCCTTCACTTTACACTCATATATGAACTGGTTCCAACAAACGTATCGGCAACAGAATTGATTAATTGGCCTGATACGCCAAAATCACATAATTTGATTTGTCCCTGAGAATTGACTAAAACATTCGAAGGCTTCAAATCTAGAGATTATTCAGTATAATGATGATGATTACTTTTTTGTTGTTATGGTTACGATTTTTTTTTTTTTACCTCTGTGGATGATACGATGTTCATCATATAAATAGATCAAGCCATCCACAATCTAAAATAAAGCGTAAATACAAAGAGAAAAGAAGGGGAGATGAACGACTTACAGCATAACCAATTCGTTTCAATACGTCTAATGGAAATGGACCATGTTTCTTGTAGATTTTATCAAGCGAGCTATATAAGTTATATATATTAAAAAAAAATAAATAAAAAAAAATACTCGAGTTATATTAAAAGGAGTTTGAACCCTACCCAGCATCCATGTACTCCATACAAATCGAAATATCGCCTCCATTCATGAAAGCACCATAAAAGCTAACGATATGTTTTGAATTACAGTCGTGCATAAATTGTAGTTCACGCATTATTTGTTTTCGTACATTCATATTAGCATCTACATGGACAATCTGTGTATTGTAGGTTATACATGCAAAAAATAAAATAAAAAATTAAACATCATCATCATGGGCAATGCCTATAATTCCCCCTTTTTTTGTGTTTGTCAAAATATACCTTTCTCGCCATGACGGTATTTGTTCGAACATGTAATACTTTACACACGGTCCCGCCGTTTCCTCTACCAAGTTCATCTATATTGTTGAAATCCTCTGGACGCAGATCCAGCCGCAACTCGAGGCCAATCTCTAATTCACTTAGCTGTTCGCACAACTGGCTGTAATCAGCTGGAGCATGTTTATTGTCATCATACGCAGATGATGCTTTTGTTGTTGTTATTGTGTCTGTCTTTAAGTCGTTTGCTGTGTTTGGCTCAGATGGAGGAGGTGAACCACCCACGACAACGGGTGAGTTTTGAAGCGTCAAATTTTTAAAATTACGCTTTTTTCTTAAAGTCACTTTGGAAAGCATAATACGTGTTTTTTTAACAGTTTTTTTTTTAAAAAGAAAGAAAAAAATGAAAACTTAAAAAGCACAAATGAAAAGCATTGGGAGCCACAAAGTTTGTTTTTTTTTAAAAAAGAAAAGAAAAAACCAAACTCCGACTAGTTTGCTGTTTGTGAAACTGTATGAGGACACCCATTCATAGGTTCAGAGAGTATCGGCAAGAAATTTATAATGTATGCTATTTCAATGGTGTAAAAAATTTGGAACCAGCAAATACGCGTATCCTAGACGTAAAAAATAAAAATAAAATCCCTCTGTCATCACATAAATGACGACATGCTCTAATATTATGTAAAAAAAAAAAAAAAAAAAAAAAAAAAAAATCTATTAAGGCCAAGCGCGCACAAGAAGTGAATGTCTGCATATCAAATAAAATACGTTTCTCTGAAATAGCATATTATGAAAATTGGAAATCAAGAATAACAAACTACGAGTTAAAAAACCCAAAAAGTTACCCTTCAGTTATCCAAGGAATGGATATGAGCACATTACTACTCGGAATGGACATGCCATTGTTTTAAACATAAAATCAGGCAACTTAGCACAGGTATATATATAAAAAAAAACCATCGAACTTCTTAAAAAAAGTGGTTATGTAGTTAAGCGAACAGAAGCGGTATTTTATTATTGACTACCCCCCCTTCCTACCCTCGCTTTTTCCAGTAATTCAACGTCTCTCTTTTACATGTTTTGAACACCAAAATCCAATATTCGAAACGAAGTTTCATTTTTTCTATAATAAAAAAGAAAAGAATGTGAATAATAATAAAAAAAGATCAAATGACTTTTTTTTTTTTATATATATATACTTTTGTACTGCAGCTACGCATCTTCTTCCGTCAAATGCAACACGCCATACACAGTCCACTTCGGTGATCAAGTCTCGAATGAATTTACCAGTTTTGATATCCCACATTTTTAATCCACCTTCAGAGCCGGATATAACTTTTTGGTCGTCATGTTGAAAGCATGTAATAGAATTTCCATGTCCAGATAATGCATGATTACATATACCAGTATCGGGTGACCATACTCTTAGAATAGAATCGGCTGCTGCAGACACAAGGTATTTATTAGTTAGTCCTAGTAGTCCTACAAGCACTGTATGTCCCTCTAATCTCTTGATGCAATCCCCTGTCTTTAAATCCCAAATACGAACAGATGAATCCATACTGCCACTCATACATCGATCTCTTTCTGCATCAATTACCACCGAATACACCTTTTGCGTATGTCCCTCCATTAATTGAATCATTCGACCTGTCCTGATATCCCAACTTCTCACTGTGTTGTCATAGCTACCACTCACCACCACATTACCATGATAGGCAATGGCACGCACGGATTGTCGATGGCCCACCAATGAATGTACAAAATACGGATTCTCACCGACACCATGATAATGGCCTGCAAGGTTTTTCGGGTCAGGCAATTTCCAAACTCTGAGGGTAGAATCACGAGAGCCAGTAACGATCATGGGTTGAACGCCCTTTGTGATTAACAAGCATCTTATGGTAGATGTATGCCCCGTAAAGATATGCGTGCATTTCCCAGTTTCCATATCCCAAACACGCACTCGCCTATCTGTCGAACCCGTCACGAGTGTGTTCCCAACATATTGCAATGCCCAGACACCTCCTTCATGACCCTCTAATGTCATGCGTTTTTTACCCGTATCGGTATAATAGATATTGACATGCGAATCATCCGCACCAGAAACAATTTTTTCATCATCAAACTGTAAACAGGTGACTACAAATTTATCATGTCCTTTGAACCAAGTTTCTTGAGCTCTTCCTTTCCTCCAATTTTGTTTGAGGGTATGATGTCTTGCATAGAGTTGTTTATAATCATGGATGATGGAGGAGTGAGTTAAGGGGTCTGAAAGAGAATAACCGTCTTCTAAAAGTAGTCTTTTCCAGGACGGATTATCCGAATCAATCACCGATTTCCATTTCTTGCATACACACGATGCTCTACTCAATGAAAGGGCATCAAGATAACTTGTAATTCGTCTCGATACCTCCAACGGTAATGTGGATAAAAAATCATGTTTCAAAACAGGCATAATCACCGAGTTAATAAATTGAAGCGTGTTGGTCGAGGATCGCTTTAGTAATTGAAATAATAGATAGGATTTTAAATTGGGAGAGATGGTATCAAAGGCTTGAATCATGGAAGGAAGTTGCCATAATGCGTTTAAGGTTAGATTTGCTTCTGTTGTTGTTGTATTGTTGTTGTTGTTGTTGGTAGGAATCAATGCCGATGTAGAAGGTATGTCATTTAGTGAGAATTCTTCATCAGACCGTATTAATTTTCGAGGTCGTTTGTGTCCCCATATCATTTTGGCATCACATGTGACGGATCTTTTCCTAGGAGGAGAAGAAGAAGAAGAAGAAGTAGTGGAAGAGGATGAACTAGGCAAATCAAAACATGAAAACCCTTTCATTGTATGAGACGTTACACCATTTCTGCTACCCTATGAAAATAGCATCCTCAGTTAGTGCCCTCTTTTTATTTAAATGCAAAAAAAAAAAAACTTGTACTCCTGTTTATATTACGATAATTTACCTCTTTTGGATCACTGTTTTCGTTGTCCTGTTGTATAGATGAACATGTCGGATGAAGGGTGATCTGAATAACATTAGAACCAAGATCGCTTGGTAAAGGTGAATGAAGTGGAGAGGAATGACTTGCATTTCACTTGTTGTATATATATATATATATATATTCTTTTTTTTTTTTGCTTTAGGGAGGGTTTAACCAAAAAAGAAAAAATAAAGGGAAAGAAAAAGAAAAGACGATTAATGTATGATTTTATTGTAATAATAATAATAATAAAAAAAAGGGGCGATCCGGTTGATTTCTTTAGCTTATACATGTACGCCCTCGCGCACACACCACCCCACACACACACTCTCTGTTTCTGCGGAATGTTAAAAAAAAAAAAAAGGTTCAAACAATCTGAATACACGCCACTCTCTCTTTTATTTCATTACAAAACATGTAATAAACAAACATCGTCTGTTTCATTCTCATACGTACTCTTGTTCATGGAAAGTTTATACATAGGGATGTTTAAAAGGACTACGCCACTGTTGTGCAACATCGATATGACAAAAAGGCCCATCATCAATTTAAAAACGGATGTTGAAAACACCAGGACGTGCGCATCCACTTTTGGCGCGCCAATTATGTAACTATACCCTTCATCAATCATGTGCTTCAAAAAGCTCTTTGGGGAACGACAATACAAAAGCATCCGTTCCCAAGTTTTATCTGCAGTAATTTCAACGTAAATTTGAAAGCCTTACAATTTCTCTTGTTAAATGCAGATTCACTTTTACCAATTCATCTTCAAAAAGAATATCAGCCATGATGAAATTCATTTAACTTTAAAAAGCTTTCTTATTCCAGATATAACTCATTGAAACCTCATTTATCATTTATGTTATCCTTATCACTTTTGACTTGCATTGATTTTGCTGAAAGATAAAAATCCAATGACTCATTGACTTGAAGCATTCTTTCACTGCAGTAACTGTCCGTAAAGGGATGATTGGTCCCCTAGATCTGGTTTATACTGCCTTCCCTGGGTAAGGCTTGATTTCTTGTATGACAGCAACGAGGTTTTTAGTTGCTATGAAATCCCCTTTTTACACAGACAGCTAATGAAGTAGTCATGGCACGGCATGGTTGGTAATTTTACAAACAGGAAACAGGAAAGCGTCTCCTTGACAGCAGTATGACTTTCTTGTGTACGCAAAAGTATTTTCTTGTCTAAAGGGAAAACTAGCTGTTTGCACGTTACTCACAAGCATATTCAAACGTTTTCTTTGGCACTCTTCACGATCGGACCTTTTAATGGGTACCATGAGTAGAAATGTTTCACACTATTCGGAATAGATCAGTGATCTTTTTATCATGACACAGTCAAGGCATGTGGAGTGAACAAGATTTTCAAACTTCTCTTCATTTTAAGAACATTCAATTAATAGAGAGCAAAGGGAGTCTTTTTATTTTAATATGTGTTGCTTAATGGTTCTACCTAATGCAAAAAAGGCCCTTTACTTTTGAGAATAAGAAGCCTTATTCAGAAAAGTAAAGGGCCAAAAAAACAAAAAAAAAGCCCCCCACCGAAGCAGGAGGCAAAAAAAAAAAAAAAAAAAAAAAAAAAAAAAAAAAAAAATATATACAAAAAAAAAAAAAAAATATATACAAAAAAAAAAAAATATATACAAAAAAAAAAAAAAATATATATATACAAACAAAAAACGATGCTTACTCCCCAACACCTCTGAGAAGTACGAATCATTCAATCCTGGGACTGACGGCACCAATGAGAGCTATTGAACAGCAAACATCAGTGTGAAAACAAACCTTAAAGAGAAGAAAAATCAATGGATGGGGGCTCCCTTTTTATACCATTTTGAAATCAAAAAATTTATGCGCCATGTGATAGATATGACTATCAAATATGACTATCGATATGACTGCCTCTGGGTAAGTGAATGTGTTTGCGCAGCAAAAGGATCGCTTTAAAAGCAAAAAAAGTTACACAAAACTACCCTTTTTCCTGTAAAAATCACTATTTTTCATGCCACAGAAATTCATGCCTTCTTTGAAGTCTTCACGTTACTCAACTGTCTTTTTTTTGTTACGCCAAGTCACAGAAAAGAGAGTTTAGACCTATTAGAAAGCACTCCAGTGTAGTTATTTTTATTGACCTTCATTTACTGTTCATAATTAAGAATGTCTTTTGTCATTCTGTCTAATAAAAGAACAGGTTTTTCAATGCTGTCTTTCACTCCACATGTATGCAAGTCATTATATAATGGGCGGGGGTAACTACTTGGACTTAAGGGTATAGTCAATGCTCACCATTAGTCATTATTTCCTTTTTTTTTTTTTCGTGTACGGCTTCTTAAACTTTATGCAAATGTTACAGTCCCCGCTTCCGACATTTCAAGTTCCTTCAGGCAACGTTTTTTGATGAAAGACCGTTATTATTATTATTGGATAGAGAAAGTCGCATACTTTTTTTTTATAAGAGCTTGCAGTGAAATCCATAAACCCACATTCACACTCAAAGACCTGTAATGGCTGTAATAACTGTGCCCCCATAGTATAACAGTAAGGCATGATGTCCTTTTCCGTCAGTTGAGTACAGAGACCTTGGCGGTGTTTGCAAAAAAAAAGGGTCGTGTGCAAAGATCATTTGCATTTACAACTTCCTTAGTTTGACGCATTATACTTTTTCTTTGCCCAAACCAGACATGCTCTTTAAGTGAGGATCAGAAGTCAAAGTGGCTTAGAGTACGACTAGTTTTAATTAAACAACGTATAAGCGTACCTTTTTTTTCTCCAGTATTTCTTCTTAAGCCTCAATGTGACACGTTTCTTAAACAATCAGTCAAAGGAATAGAACTAATGGTACAACTTACTTGTGTGGGAAACCCTATTCCAAACTCTGGCTCTATAGGGAAGGGTAGCAGAACAACGTCACGGCCATCTGTCAGATCAAGATTCTCAAGTATGCGAACTGAAAGTTCGGTGCGGTCTCCAAGGCCCAATCAACCCTTTTTTTTTTGCTGCCTGCTTGGTATGAAAATGGGCAATTTCATCCCAGCACTTATATAGAATTAATCAGGTATTCATAAAAGCACTTCTTTTCGTATATTTGTGGTCTCATAATGCTGTAAATTTATCAGTTTCATTGGATAAAAGTATAACAGAACCTCGGATGAGCTCTTCAGTAAAATAAACCATCCAAAAGGCGAAAAAAGGAAGGAGACCTCAAAGACGTAGACAAAGGTAAGCCTATATTATCAATTCAAGTAAAGATGTTGACCATGCGTTTGTATACTGAGTTTAATAAATTAGATAATAATAATGAAATTTATGCCAACAAGTCCATAAAGGTAAAAGAAAGGAAAATTCGAAAATTTGAGGAGGAAGGAGTAAAAGAAGGTAAAATCCCTTATGACCTTAGGCTGTCAGTCATGTACGCTTTATTAATCTATTTAACTTAGACGATGCTCCCAAAACTACAGCAAGAAGTGACTATGAAAAACAAGGTCTCGGTGAAAGCAACTATAAAAGAAGGAGAAAAGGTAGAAATGCTAGGGTTCAAGAACTATTTCAAGAAGAAGAAAAAGCTGAAAAGTATGAAGGGAGAATAATAAAAAAAACAAACGACTTTTTGTAGTAAAACTCAAAAAAGATGCAAAAAGTGCGTTGAAATGATTTAATGAGCCATTTGCAGTTTTATGATATTAATTTATTTATACTAAGACTAGCATGGCCTAATTCTTGAGACAAGCATATGACTACTGGCAAGATTAACCAGGCAACTATTATTAAATAAAAGCTCTCAAGAAGGTGCATATGATCAGCAAATACCTCAGACTACAACATGATCAATGGATTGCCCTTATCATGATGATTGTGCTACAGATATGGTTCCCAGCAATTCGAAAAAAGCGGTTGCAAAAATACAAAGGAAAACTTACCTGTCAACACATTTCCAAGAGATATCAATTTATTTCGGCATTTACGAGCTTCTACTGACAAGTGAATATATTGCAACAAACGATTGTATCCTACCATTCCTTGGGTCGGCGATAACTATGCAACTAAATGAACAATGTACGGAAGAAATATACATATATACTTGTGGTCCAATAGTTATAAACACTGAAAGACTCCTAAAACATTATATTAAGTTCCGCTCATACAAACCATGGGAATTCTATTCCCTTGATGCATTTACAAAAGGGTTTACCCCTGTAATACCCATTTACTACCATGGTCACGTCTCTCAAAAGAATAAAGACATCACCGTTTACCATTTTGCCTCTAGGATATTGTCAATTGTTTCCAGCAACCAAATTATTACAAAAGAAATGATGGTTGATTTGTGGTTATTTATGGTACAAATTCCTCTGTTCACGAAAGTATCAAGAATCAATAATTTGCAAAAACAATCAAGTAAATATGTCGACTTTGGTTATTTGGTGGGTATATACGCTTATATTGAAGAAAAGCTGAACAGACGAGTCAGTTCATTTCCAACATGTATAGTCAAAACTGCTACCAAAAATATTGCTTTAAAGATAGGAAAAGGGCGGTTTGTTCGGAGATATCAAGAAAACAAATGATGCTCTCTAATGAAAGAAATGAAGAAAGACTTGATGTGAACTTCATTGATTTATTTAATAAATGTTACACTTTTCTTTTATGGTTTTTCTTATGATGTATATGATTCAATAATATTTTCCTATTGAATATACAATTAGAGTAAAGATCGCTTTAATATTATAAACGGCGTAGTCATTTTGATCAACATTTTAAATTTTTTTCTCTAGACAAAAAGCAGTTTTTTCAGGAGTGTTTAAATATACATTTTTATTAGATTATGTTAATAATAATGATGATGGAAAAAGTTCCTTTTAGTTCACAAAACATTTTTATTTGACAGGATCAACCACGAGAAGGTAGGAGGCCATCTGATACCAAAAATTATTCTACATAATAGATTTCTCTACTACATAGTCCAAACGACAGCACTTAGTTTGTTAACCCAAAGCCAGTCTGGCAACCCAGTCCTAAACTTCAGCCTTTCATAATTTACATCCGAATTGCAAACTTAAAGAACAAACGAATTTTTCTTTATCTTCTCTTTTAATAATGGCCTTGGTTAAAAATCGCCACCCGGCCCGAACAACATTTATTGCCATGAACATAGAGGCAATTGAAGGCGGAAATACAGTATATTTTTTTTTGAACTTCTGACAAACAAGTTACACTCCAGTCTCCAAGCCTTTCACTTTTGTTGAGCTTGTACACCAATACTTTTCTTACGTAAGCGAATGTTGTGCGCCACCATGGCCCATAAGATTGCACCATATAAAAAAATTAGCATTGATAAGAGATCTTCGTATTTATGACATAATTCTTTATAAGCCGACAAGTTTTCTAATTATAACTTGTAACATGATAATTACTTGAATTATATTCTTTCAATCAGGCTTATTACGCGAGAAAAAGTCGATATTACACATGTACAAGATGCACTTATCACGCCTGCTTTTCCTTCTACGTTGTCCATGATATAACAAATTGTTATCTCTCGTCATGAACTAAACCTATAAAAGTCTGGGGTGGGGTTCTGTTTATGAAAAAAAGTGACGTTACGTTTTAGATTCAGGCTAACAAAAAAAAAAAAAAAAAATCGCTTTGTAATTCCAATTTTTATTGGCTGAAATTTTAGTTGCATAAAAATTTATTCCTCAGCATTACATACCTCTTGTGAAACCATGTCTCTAAATATATAAACCGGGCAAGTTTTAATTCATTTCTTCTCTAAATCGATAATTATTTTTTTTATCACACTTACACTAAATGTCTAACAAAGTTTTAACCACCTCTAACGGAAACCCCGTTGATAATGACCAAACCTCTCTCACTGCTGGCGTCTGGGGACCTGTTCTCATGCAAGACTTTCACTTAATTGATAAACTTGCGCATTTTGATAGAGAGCGTATTCCTGAGCGTGTTGTTCATGCCAAGGGTGCGGGAGCCCATGGTGAATTTGGTAATAATTAAGATTTTATTACTCTGGCCAATTCATATTAACATTTTTTATTTATTCAGTTGTCACTCATGATATTTCTCACCTCACCAAGGCTAAATTCTTAAACAAGGTTGGTAAAAAGACCCCCATGTTTGCTCGTTTCTCTACCGTAGGCGGTGAAAGGGGTAGCGCAGACACCGCTCGTGATCCCCGTGGGTTTGCCTTGAAGTTCTACACAGAAGAGGGTAACTTGGATGTTGTTGGTAACAATACACCCGTCTTCTTTATCCGTGACCCTTCCAAATTTCCTGATTTCATTCACACTCAAAAACGTAATCCTCGTACCAATCTCCATGACAAAAACGCAGTGTGGGACTTCTTCTCGTTGGTACCCGAATCCCTTCACCAAGTCACTATTCTTTATTCTAACCATGGTACACCCGATGGTCATCGTCATATGCATGGCTTTGGCTCACATACATTCAAGTTGGTGGATGATAAAGGTAAATGGAAGTACTTCAAGTGGCATTTCAAGACCCAGCAAGGCTCCAAGAACTTGAAGCCTGCAAAGGCAGCTGAATTGGAAGGAACCAACCCCGATTACTCTACCAATGATCTTTTCCAATCTATTGAGAATGGCGATTATCCAACCTGGGATGTTTGTATTCAAGTCATGGACGCTGAGGATGCAAAGAAGTACCGTTGGAACGTATTAGATGTGACCAAAGTTTGGCCCCATAAGGTAAAAATAATAAAAAAAAAAGATGTACCTAGTTATTCTTCACAACAGAAACAATTAACAATTTATATATTCTCTTAGGACTATCCTCTTCAACCAGTGGGCAAATTCACATTGAACAGAAACCCCGAGAATTACTTTGCCGAGGTAGAACAAGCAGCTTTCTCACCATCTCACATGGTGCCCGGTATTGATACCTCAGCCGATCGTATGCTACAAGGCCGTCTTTTCTCTTACCCTGATACACATCGTCACCGTCTCGGTGTCAACTACAAGCAAATCCCCATCAACCAACCCCAATGTCCAGTTAATACCTACCAACGTGATGGTTTCATGACCGTCAATGGAGGTAGTGGCCGTGCACCCAACTATGGTCCCAACTCTCAAAATGGACCGGAACATAACAATCTTATTGGCTCCATATTTGCACCTGAAGAAGTTGAGGGTTTGATCGGTCGTTTCAGTTTTGAGTTGACAGACGATGATTTTGTTCAACCCGGAAACCTCTACCGTCTCATGACAGAGGAGGACAAGAACGATTTGTGTGAGAATATTGCTGGTGATATGGAGACGGTTGATGATGAAATCATCCAACGTCAGCTTGCTCATTTTGAACGTGCAGATCCTGATTATCGTCGTCGTGTTGAGGCTGCTCTCAAGAAGGTAAAAGGATAAATATTCTTTCAACCCATTGTAAATACATGTATATATATATCGTTGATACCTTGATTTGTCTCTTTGTATATATTTATGGTTCACCTACTATTTATTGTAATAAAATGTTTATTTTATTCGTCATTACCTCTTTTTGTAACCCCTACTACTCCGATACAATGAGATCATTTTACGGTCATGCAGAGTTTTTTTTTTTTTAGACAGCTTTTCAGAAACAAAAACGCCCTTCAAGATAAGCGATATCAACTGGTATGTGCGTTCTAAACATACAAATATGCATTTAATTCATTAGGGTAGGACCAAGAAAAAAAAGTAAACAGTCATTAAGCCGCAGCAGAAAAAAACATGATAAAAAGGAACGTTGACCGTCTACTCTATTGAGCTTTTTTCTAGAGAAAATAGTCATCTATTCTGAATTTGCACTTTTTGCAGTTGTTTTAAACTTGCAAGCTGAATAGAGTGACAATTCGAGAGATAATCTACATGCCAATCAATCAAATTGAGGTATATCCAAGGTAAATATTGACTTTTTTTTTTGTTTGATCATCAGCGTCATATAATTTTTTATATCAGTGATGGTGAACTTACCCTTTTTTTTTTCTCTTCCTCTCTTTTCTTGTTTCTCTTAAAAAAAAAGGAAATGAGCAGTGCAAAACCTCAATACCTCTACTCAGCCTCTGTGGAAAAATCCTATTATAAATTCTTTGCGTCGCTAACTTCAAGAGTCAATAATAGGGTTTTAAAAGCGCCCACATCCACCATGAATCAGGCCTCTTATATCTTTCCTGCAAATATCGTTGACAGCCCCCTTATGATGTCAAATATGTACTTGTTACTTCAATTAGCAGGCGCCCAGATTCGAAATCATGTCATCCGAGCTATCGTAGCGAGAAAGCTTCTTTTATGGCTGATTAAAGAACGGCCTGATATTGTCCATGAAATGCTAAATTAGCTTTGGACATTTAATAATCGTGTGAAATAAAAAAAAAGTTACGCCAACATCTCTATGTTTCACAGACCAATGAATTTTTTGCATTTTAAAAGAGCTGTCTGATAAATGTTTGATAAAAAGGGAAGGAAAACAGACATTTTTGTCTGCAGTCAAAAGATATTCTGCTTTTTTTATAACTAAATGTTTGAACAACTGATGCCAACGGATTCGTATGAAATGCTCTTGACAAGAGTTATTCTACGAGCCGAAGCAGTGACAGGATTTCGTACTCGTAGAACAGATGTGACGATGTTGTTGGATAACATTGAAGACAATTTTATCTTGAACGCTTATTTCAGACTAGAAGTCATGACCCTCTTAGGCATTCAGTGGCCTTCAACATTCGAAAACGAAAAGCTGAAGGCAAGACTCTCTCGTGACCTGATACTCTGGTTTAAGCAAGAGGATCCTAATGCATTATTTACATTGACAAACGGGTTTTTTTACTAGACTCTGTTGGTGTAACATCTGCCTGTCCTCCATATATGGACTGTTTTTTAAAATAATAGTTTTGACACTCCCCACACTCACACCCCCCATATTTATGCGTAAGCGAATAGATTTCAAGCTTATTATGAGATGTACCAATAAGGTTTCTTAAATCCTTATGATTCAAATTCTCGTCACAAATTTCAATTAAAAAGCTTTCCTCACAACACCCCGCATTTTTTCTTTCTTTCTTCTTTTTTAATAATAATAAAAATATGTTTAGATCTATTGCAACCCGCGTTGTAAGTTTTAAGGGCTATCTATGTGAAAGAATCATGTGTAAATAATTATTTAAAAATAGGTGAGTACAGCCACCCGCACCCCTTGTCAAGCTCGTTTCTTGGCCTCTCAAAGCGGTTCTGCCACATCTGCCATTTCATTCAAGAAACATATCCGTCAACGTCGTTATGGACCTGTTCCTGTTGTGCCTCAACCCACTGTGGAGGACGCCGTCACCAACATTCTTTACAACACGCCTCCACCCAGTCTTCAACCTGAAACTCGCCACATCTTGAATTGTCTTGTTCAAAACGAACCTGGTGTCCTCAGTCGTGTTTCCGGTTGTTTAGCTGCTCGTGGTTTTAATATCGAATCATTGGTTGTTGCCAATACTGAAGTGGAGGATCTTTCTCGTATGACCATTGTCTTTAATGGTCGTAACGTTCAAATCGAACAAGCAAGACGTCAATTAGAAGATTTGGTAAGTTTTATACAAAGTGAGAGAGAGAGAGAAAGGGTATTTACACATCTCATCAAAGGTTCCTGTCTGGGCTGTTTTGGATTATACAAAGACAAAATTGGTTGAGCGTGAGCTTTTATTGATCAAGGTGTCTATCCTTGGTCCCGAACATTTACACGAACAATTACCTACTCACAAGTTGGATTCTGATGCCGAATATGAGGACGAAATTATCTCCCGCTATGAAAGTGTAAGTTTGGATAATATGTGTCAAAAATAAGAGAGAAGGGATTTTGATAGTATTCTATGTAGAACTCTTATGCTGCACCTGCTGATACCCTTCGTGAGACTTTCTCTCACTTGCGTGCCTTGACAGAGCTCACCCGTCTCTTTGATGGTAAGGTGGTTGATGTCTCCTCTGACTCTGTCATTATCGAATTATGTGCCAAATCCTCTAGATTATCTTCCTTCATGAAACTCTGTAAGCCTTTTGGTATTCTTGAGGCTTCAAGAACAGGTAAAATAATTATAACTTGGGGCTCAAGAATATATATTAACTTTTTAATTTTAGGTATCATGGCAATGCCTAGATCTCCTGTTCATGATCACTATGAACCTCAAACTGATCATTCCTATGAAGATACTGAAGCTGTTGATGCTTCTATGCTTCCTCCCGGATAAATAGATTATAAATCACTTGTCATTTCTTTTTACATAATCCCTTTCTATTTTTTTTTTCAAAGCAAAAAACCCATACACATACATAAAAAAAAAAAAAAAAAAATCCAAATCATGTTGAGTCATAAATTTCTATTGGATGCATCTGCTTATGAGTACTGTGTAACCGTCGCACAGGAATCTGGGGGGGGGGAGGAGAGGATTTTCAAAAAGAGTTTTGTACACGTCAAAAGGATCCACATACACTTTTTTGCATAGTTTTTTTTCTCTATTTTCTTTTTATTAGAGTTGATAAAGATATGATACAAATGGTGAGAAGAGAGGCTGATTTTTGTTGTTGTTATTCTCGTTTATACCCTACGAGATAACCGAGAATGTTGGATAAACTAACTATGCCAATCAATTTGTTTTCGTGATCCACAATGATTAATCTATACACTCTTTGTTTTCGAATTGTTCGAAAGATGGAATGAAGTGTATCGTTGAGTGTACATGTATGAACTCCAGGGTAATCTTTAGGTCTTGCTTCCATTGCCTCTCCAACCGGAATATCCAATTCTCTATATCTACCTGATCTAGCAATACTCTTTACACAACTTTTTAGTTTCCTTATCAACCTCTTCTTCCGTATCTCTCTTTATTTTTACCATCACGTCAATTGTTTCGTATACGTTGATCACAACTCCATTCGAATCCACAATAGGTACTGCGCTAATACTTTGTTCGACAAACATGTTGATTACCTGAATTACAGGAGTTGACATGGATGCTGTGGCGATATTATCATATGTTCCAATCTTGAGTTCAGACAAAGGCTGACGTAAAACCTTTGTATGTTGAAACTAATAGTATCTATCTATGAGCAACACTTTCCATAACCATAGATATATAAAAACTCACTTACATTGGATGCGATAAATTTCAATATACGATATTGTGTAATGACACTCACAATCATTTCTGTACCGGTCTCTGGCTCAATATCTAGTAAGGGAACACGATGCACTCTACTTTGTGCCAGCATGCGACAAGCGTCATACAATGTGGCCATGGGATCCATCGACACTAATTGTGGAGCAGGTGCACCTACCAATTTCTCCACGTTACGTAAATGAGCCAATTCAAAACTTTCAATTTCCCGAAATGCATCTTCGACAGAGGAATGGGTATAATAATATTGAATAAGGTTGATGAAATCCGCAACCGTCAACATGCCAGCGAATTTCTGGTTTTCACTGGACCATAAAGGAGCAGAAACAATGCCTAAGAGTTGATGTTAGGCACAGACAAAATTAAAAAAAGTAATAATACACTCCAAGAGTTACCATTTTGCACAAGTGCATTAAGGGCTTTTTTCACCAAGAGTCGAGTATCGAAAACAATGAGTCGATAACTCACGGGTAAAACGTCGTATGCTGTATGTTGTTTTAAAAAGGTGCACATTAAGGACTGGATTTCACAAGCCTGTTCGGGTAATGGAGGTGTTGAACCCGCAGACTCTCTATCGAAATTGTCTGTTGAAGGTACACTTGAAGAATATGACATTTTTAAATGAAAAAAAAAAGTGCTTTGTGTTGTGCGTAAAAAGGAAGAAACAAAAAAAAAAAAAATGTTTTATTTTGATTTATTATTGTTTTTAAACCGCTCAACGTGGAGTACCAGCTGACCCCAAAGTCTTGGTGGTGGGGAATGAAGAAGCCGTAATTTGTAAATTTTAACTGCAGTGGTATTTTCAAATGTTTTCAACTGCTGCTTTTCAATATTCTGGAGCTGTGAAATCATAAAGTATTTTTTGCATTGACCAAAGAAGGAATTTTCCTCTTGCACCGTCAGGCCTCTTTGTTTGTAGCACAAATAAATGATTGTACTTGCATCACATAAATCGCGAAATGTCGAAATGAGCTTACTAAAATGCTCCACATTATATAGTACATCAGAAGCTATAATCACATCCAATGCGCCATCCTTTGTTATGTCCGCTGCCTCCTCCTTGTTGCCCCAACTCAGCGTTTTGATACTCAACCGCGAGGAGTCTTGGATACCATTCAATACTTGATTTTCCTCAATTAAGCCCAACGCCTCTTCTAGATCTGTCAAGATAATATGTGGAGGTTGCTCACATTCCTGATAGCATTGAGCTATAGACAATCCTATATATCCCGTTCCTGCACTTAGATCCAATACACGTTTATTGGCTAGATGTGTTGGATCTGTTGCAAATATCTTTAGGAGTATATCTGTCATCACAATCGCCGAATCCCATATCTTGCCTGGTGTTCCAAAATGCCATTGCTCTCTCAACAAAAAATACGTGCTTTTGGACAACGACGACGGTAGAGCTCTGTATTGTTGTCCTTCCAAATCATGCACGATAGGTAACCAATCCTCTTTCTGCTTCTTGTCCTCGATGTAGATAGGTCCCACCGTCAATGCCAGCACACGACTGTCTGTGGTTGTCAGCGATAAGTAAAATGAGCTATCTTGTAGGGCACTATTGACTCGATATTCAATGCCGCCAATGGATTTAAAAGGGAGAAAACCTTCAGATTTTGCAGCGTCTGGATCCCAAGCATCTTCGGAAATGGGACGAGATTGGATCTGATGGTTCGTTAGCGAACGTTTGTTGTTTACCAAGATAGTGCAAGTTAATTTGATTAAATGAGGGTGTAGATCCATTAATAACCCCATTTCAGTAACAAGTTTTAAATCGATTCTGTACCACTCTCTTAATTGTATCCTATTTTCAATACGGCGATGTAACACAATTCGTAATAAATTGGAGTTCTTGTACAATGGCTTTGAAAATGACCCCTCTAATGGTAAAACTTTTCTGTTTTTAGTTGCAAACATTTATTTTGATATGAAAGAAAAAAAAGAATAATTATAAAAAAAATGTGTGGTACATACTGATCAAAATAGCAAAATAATCTCCGAGTATGGGAAGCATTTTGCCTCTCTTTTTTTTTTTTAAGAAAAAACATAAAATATGGGTTACACATCGATTGTAACCCATAGTTTATTTATAGGGATAGTCATTCACATATACAGTGAATTGCAACTGAAAATATAGAGTTGCCGAAGCGAAGGAGGAATAAGTGGTACAAGCTCTTTATTTTTCAGATATTTATGTATTTATAAAAAAACGAGATATTTCAAGCAAGCTAAACTAAATTCAATTTTTTTTTGGGAGGGTTTCCAAGTGTCACATTTGTCAATTAAAAAATCTTCGATACCAGGGTTGGGTTTTTACCACTTCTTCATCCTTTGCTTCGGCAACTACATTGTTGTATGTCGTGCCTTGTTGCCTTCGTTTTAAACTCCGAGCTGGTACCCTTTTCCGCAGTCTACTTATTTTTTTAATGACATTTTCGTTATGATGGTGGTTACTTTCGTCGACTTGTTCAGTTTTTTCCCTGCTTATTAGATTCAGGATGTATTTATGGTTTTCTCCATCCAGCTGAGCAAGGTGTGAACCTTCTGTATTGTTTGCTATTTACAGTCTAATCACGCATATTCACATTACGAAATATATCCATGATGTAATTCATTCCTAGACTGTAAACTGATCTATACCAGCCAGTGAAATATGATACTTGGTAGACAATTCTTTCGTCTTAAAGCAGCTTTTATTATTATTTTTGACGCGTGATTTCTTACGAAGCGACCAACAATATTTAAAAAAAATTCCCTATATCCATTAATGAAAATTTCATCCTTTGATGTAAACTAAAAGAATGATCAATGGTAAATTTTTGATCATTGACCAATTAATAAGATTACATAAAGATTAACAGGTATGCAAAGCCGTGATAAAGAAATATAAAGTTGACCGCGGGTAAATACGGGTTTAATCAGACAAACTGCTGCAAAAGAAAGAGTTTCCGACTAGTGGTCTGCGCCTTGTTATTCTACTCCAGGCTTTACTGAAAACAGACGAAGACGGATGGTAAGTGGGAAGATTGCATTGCCAGAAGATATAAAGACTATTCCAGGAATAAAAAAACAAGTGCAAAACATTGGGGACGATTGGCCTCATTTATCGCGATTAAGGTCACAATCGCATCGACTGATATTTGACCACGATAGAAATTCTGCGGTGATTAATATCTCGAGAACATCATCCTCAGAACAGCAGTGAACATTGCAAAAAGAAGATCACAATAAGGGAATTAATTGCATTGGCTGTCAAAAAAATACTAATAAGATATTCAATAAGAGAGCAGTGCCAACACAAGTCAAATGTTGGAATAGTTTTTTTTTTATCACATATCACAAAATACATGATTCTTTAAATTTCTGTTTTCATCACTGTCAAATGCTTCAGACACATCAACATTAATATTTCTATCAACTGTTAAAAACAAAGAAAATACCTGCATAGCATTTTAGGATAGCATAACATGCTCTGAGCTCAAATTAGGTGGGAGGACTTTTGCGACTTTTCGGGACTTTGAACAAAGATAAAACTAGTCCAAACAGTTGCATCACTCAACATAAAGTAGATTGACCACAAAGAAGACTGATTGGTTGTGAAAAAGATTGATTGGTTGCGAAAAAAACTGATTGGTCGAAAAAGCAATTTGAATTCTATTTTCAAACGCAACTCACTGTAACTGGGGCCGTAACTGGTAAATAAGCCCTTTTTTATCAATTTTTTTTTATATGATTACCCCGAAAATAGATGTACTCCCCAAAGTTTAAATTAACATACTCAGCGAAACACAGTAGCTATAATCATTGCCTGCATAGGCCTTCATTGTACTACCGTGCCAAGAGGTACAGTAACTTACCAAATACAAATAAATTATACAAATCAATCGCAGCAAATTTATAAAAAGATTTTAAAAATAAGCATTTCCCCCAGCTATTTGAGTAATAAATAAACAAACAAGGAGTGTGTGTGTGTGGCCCTCGAAGCACACACGCACACACACACAAAAAAAAAAAAATGAAACCCCCCTGATCCCCCCAATCCCCCCCCTTCTTTGGGCATGTAATAATCCCTGACCTCACAAAGTATTTCATATATTACCCTTAATATTTTTTTTATTTTTTTATTTCTTATTTCTTATTTCTTATTTCTTTTTATTATTTTAATTTTTTTTCTTTTTTTTTCTGTACACTTTGTTTATAATCAATGTCGGCAAAATCCATCACACTAAGATTTACTAAATACAAACGATTTAGTATACTATGTATTCTTGTGATAACCCTTTTAATATTATGTTCATTGCCGTTTGACGATAACCCATTTAATCTCTTTTCCTACCACACATCATCTCACACAAACACAATGGATACACAACCAGCATTAATCACAGATAATGAACGATACCTAGCTTATTTACCACACTCCGGACTCTCCAACCAACGTATAGAACTTTCCAACGCTTTACTATTAGCTTACATGTTAAACAGAACCTTGATCATCCCACCCGCTTTCCTAGGCACCGTCTTTGGATGGATGCCTCGTGAGAAACTGACGGAACGTCTCGACTGGCTTACTACGCCCAAAGATTTCCACAAGTTATGCCAACAACCTACACCGGGAAAATTAGCCAGTTATACCCAACATTCACGGTGTGAAGAATACAGACACTTTGGTACCATCGCTTGGTCTGATCTCCATGATTTTAGACCATTACAGGAAGCAGGTATCAAAATCAAGTTTCAATCCATCGTATCAATGAAGCAAATACGCCAGGATCTGCAGATCATTAACGACGATGATATTTACATTCATCATGATATTCAATTATACGATTGGCGTCTCTACGAGAACAAGACCGAGGCTGTGGGCCTATTACAAAACGGACTTAATTATTTCGATTCGTTTGCGGGAAGACGTTATTACAAGGTGTTTTTACCGCGTCATTTTCAACGCAGAAGAGAGAAATTGGTGTACTTGGCCGGTATCTTTGGATCGACACGGTTTACGATCATTCAGCCTGAGCACAAGGCTATGCGGCAATTAATCGCAGACGTCTTACATTATCGTTTGGATACGCCCTTGGGTGAAACGGTGAATGCCATTGTCAATTACTTGGGTGGCAAAAGTTCATTCATGTCGGTTCATTTTAGAACGAGTGATAAACCATTTAAAAAGGAAGTATCCGCCAATTTAAAGCAATTCGTAAAAAACATGACGGAGATCGTCGGCGGTGGCGTTAACGATGGTAACAGTAGTCGTGCTTGTGTCCGTATACGGGACGATCAAGAACAGGATTTAACTTTATTGGGAAAAGGCGTTAACGTGTATATAGCAACCGACCATAAAGATCCGCGCGGGGAGAAGAGTGAACTGCTGCCTTGGTTCGAACAATTTCCTTGTACCACGACCTTATCTGATTTGCCGGATCATCTCTTTCAACCGCTAAACAAATTAAGGGATTTAGTATCTCCTGTTCGACCGCTTAAAAGTTTTTTGATCCCTATTGTGGATGCCATGGTGGCTGCTCATGCAAGGCGTATATTAACTACCCCAAGATCAACCTTTTCAAAATACATTGAGGAGTTGCATAAAGCTTGGGCATAATCAATCTCTCTCTCTCTCTTTTTTTTAGCTTGTACATAATAATAATAATAAAAAAATATATACACATTTTAATCAAGGGTTTTTCTTTTTTTTTTCTTGGTGTTGGATATGTAATTAATGGGAAAAAAAGGAGGGTTTATAAAGTTTCTTTTTTTGTTTATGAATCGGCAGCAATTAATGCAACAATCATACGATATAAAAAGTAAAAGAAACACTATAATGGAAATTAGTATCCACACACACTCGTTCTCTCTCTCTCTCTCTCTCTCTTTTTTTTTTAGAAACTTACAATCAAATAAAAACCGAGCTTGATGAAACATTCCTTCTTGTGCTGAGACAGGGTACGGAAAATCTCGGTGGCATCGTACATATGACGTCCTTTCATGACCCTATTGTATATCATGTCAGAAACACACACTCTTTATAAAAACATGTAAAAACACTTACTTGTTCACGTTGTAGGCAGCCAAGGGCAAGTTAAAGACTAAAGAAATCCAGCTACCATTGACAAGGAACATAAAGAATAAAAACGCATGTGCTCCCATTTCTGGTAAAACAAACTATTTTCGTTTTTCGTGTTAGATTACGTCCTTCATCTTTTTCTTTCTTTCTTTTTTTTTACCTGGTTCAACTTGTTACAGAGATCAATAGGATTAATGTAATCACATTCTAAATCGGAAAACATGATGACCTATAGAAAGTTTGGACAGAAAAAAAAAAGGGTTAAGGGTAATATGTTTTATCTACTATTTTTCGAGATTTCCATAGATGTTAGTGTCAAAGTGGTTATAATAATAATAAAAGGATACGAAAAAGACCATCATGAATAAGAGCAATGCAGCCATAATGACTGCAAATAAAAAGAGCATGGCTTCACCGGGCATCATTTTCTTTGTATAGATTAAATTCTTTGAAGAGAAAAAAAAAGAGAGATGGGGAGAAGGGAAATTTTATGTTTTACTGTGTCTATGTGTGCGTACACGTTCACCAATCAGTCACAAAAAAAAAAAAAAAAATGTTTTTTTTATCACGGAATAAATCAAATGGATGCACCTATCAAAAAGGGTTTCAACAAAAGATAAACCTGTAATTCTCGACAGCCTGTTTGTACAACCTCCCAGTTCACGTTCAACCGTTTCCTTGACAACGCATTTTAAATAAAACTGCCTTTTGGAGTGACTGCCTGAGTATACATGTTTTCATGGTCATTGGATACGCTTGATCACAAGTTTTTGACCTTGATAAAGACACACAATTTTTGAACAGTATTTTTATTTAGTTTATTGTGCACTTTTGCTTTCCCTTTATACAATACGTTCAAGCTCTCTAGCATAACCCAATGTACGGGTAATGATTTGCTCTTGAGGGATCTCTACAACATCGTTATCTTCAGACCCGAAATAGACTTTTTGTTCAGCTGGGTTCACTTTCCAACCACGCTCAGATGCAAAATTCAATAATTCCTCCGTATTCTTCAAAAATAATAAAGTACTGGCATCATTTAAAGGAAGGTGTTCATAAGCCTTTTCGCTGCAACTGGCAATCTCATGTCTGAAATTCATTTTGTTTGTTTAGTTTTCTGGTTTTTAAATAAACACCCTCTATTGCTTACCTAATAGTGCCAATCAAAATATCATAGAAAAACATGAATTCCTCTCCTTGTACGGTGCTTCTTGTGCTCCAGACCTTATTATAACTACCTTCCATCAAAAATTGTTCTATAAGAGGGGGGTGGAGGAGTCACATCAGTCATCGTTTCTCTCTTTCTAGATCACACACACACACAAAATATTAACTAACCTAAATCAACAGCTTGCTTGATGAATGGGTTAGTTTGTAATTGATCTGAATCAATAATTTCAAGTGCAGTATGGAAATCAGACAATCTGTTTTGTGATAATAAACGAAGCAAATTGACGCCAATAAGTGGGTACATCTGAGCTGAAGGTGTAAGTACAGATCTATAGAAAAAATATATTGATGTACGTGTAAGTTTATTTTTATGTTATTTTTTCTCGTCTCCTCCTGTAAATACTTACGCAAGATCATGGTAATATGTGTTGAGTTGTGCAATGTATCTTTCGAATGAAGCAGTATCCTTGATACGAACACTGTAATAAGCACCGACCTCGAGAATATCACCTACACACAAACATTTGTTTTTAGTATATAAAAATCTATCAAAAAATCACAGGAAAGACTAACGTGCAGTGGTCATGACATGAGGATCGGTCTTTCCAGCAACAGGGACAAATGCACCAAGCTCAATCAAGGAAATCTATAGAACTGCATGTATAAGGGGTACTGGCCTTCTTTTTCAACTTATATATCTCTACCTTGGCTTGGGTAAGAAGTTGTCCAACCTTTTGAAGGTTAGGAGAAGAACCACTCATCTCATTTTTGAGTTGGTCACGAAGGGCATCTAACTGTTGCAATGTCATTTTTTTTAAGGTGTTAAAGGTCTGTATGTAAAATAGGAAGGAAAAGGACGCGCATGCAAAAATAAAAAAAATTAAAACAATCAAACTGAGCTACGTAATCAAAAAGTCACGTGTGAGAGTGTAAATTCATGTGCCGACAAATGCATGACGCAGTTCAAACGGGAAAGAGCATTTTGGAGAGAAATGGGGGTCGCGTTTCGGGCAATCATGCAGCTAAAGCAAGTGCAATATATACTAAAAAGTAAGGGGAAGAGAGGAGGGGTTATTATTTTGACATTTCTGAAGCAAAATAAAAATGTTTCTCTATCGTTTTAAGCATCATATGATGATGGTATTACATGAATGACGACGACTGTTTAAGAATAGATTTTCTTTTTTATTCTTTTCTTTTTTTTGCTACTGATGATATAATAATAAAAAAGGAGGAAATAGGGTGATGCTATTAATGACGGGAATAGATTTAAGGATGTAAGTGTGTGAGTGTGAGTGTGGGTGTGTGTGTAGTATGTATAAATAAAGATCTAGTTATTATTGTTGTTGTTGCTGTTGTTGGGGTAATCTTGCGTAACCATCACCGGTCAACTCAAGGTCATCATTTGTCAAAGACTTTTCCAAGTCGACATCTAAAATGGGAGGAAGGCCCATTATCTGGCGTGTCCATTGTTGGATAGCCTTACCCCAGATGACTGGCACGAGTGAAATAAACGATACAATCAGAAGTTTGATGACGAGTGACACAGAAACAATATCGGAAGTGGAAGTTAAATCACCCAATACATCACCGGCTTGGGCACAAACAAAATTATAGGGCATAGAACCAAAGAAAGTGGACCAAAAGAAAGGTGAGACAGGTATATCCAACAAGGGCGATACCAAGTTAATAAACCAGTAAGGTGAAAATGGGAATAATCGTGCAAACAATAACCACCAGAATAATCCTCCACTTTGTCTTTCTGACTCCACTTGGCGGTACAAGGGCTCTGCTTTACGAGCAAACCAAGGAACCCGAATCAATGGTTCTCCTACCAAAATGGCTAAGCCGTACGCTAAAGTAGCTCCTCCCGCCGTAAGGAAACTGGTCAACACACTTCCCATGGTAATACCATAGAGATAACCTGCTAACAGATTCAGCAATACTGAGCCAGGAATCGAGAATGCCTGTTGCCAGAGGTACAAGACAGCAAACACAACAGTGACTGACCCATACCCGGTCCAACTATTAGCGATTAATTCCTCTAGCTGAAGTGCCGTTTGTTGAACGTCTTCCAGTGTACGGGGCAAACCAATGTCGAGTACATAGTGTGCCAAAGAAATGGTAAATACCAATGAAATTACTCCAATAAACAGAAACAGTAGTAAGCGAGGCAACAGCTGTTTCCATGTTGGTGCTTCTTTTGCGTCTTGTTCTCTATAAATAACTTCATCGTCTCCTAATAATGTATCTTGTTGTTCTCGTTGTAAATCAAAATCAGGAAAGTCTGTACTGTATTGCTCTGAACCACCAACATAATAATCTGTTGATGATGTATTCGTTTTATCATACATTTTTTTTATATACAAAGAAAAAAAAATTAATTTAGAAGGAAAAGAAGGATTTTAAAAAATATTCGTTTCCTCATTTATATATAAAAGATACCGAAACTTTAAACCCTTTTGACCAATCAAAAAATTTTATTCGATTTCTGCTTTCTTTTTTACTGTGGATAAAAGGCCGCCGATTCTTCCATCTGATGTATATATAAAAAAAGGTAGATGGAAGCAGCTTTATTTGACCGTTTCAAACAGCCGAGTTTATGTAGTAAAATGAAAAGGCATCAAAAAATAAAGTTTTTTTTTTTTTTTTTTTTTTTTTTTTTTTTTTTTTTTTTTTTTTTTTTCAGGAAAGATGGGACAAGATACATTAAAAAACTCTTGGCTTACTCTTTGTTTTTTAAAAAACCGAATTCCAACACAGTCTTTGCTCCCTTTTTTCCCCCTTTGGATAGCTTCATCTCTCCCAGCATTTTTGCACAAGCAATTCGTATTTTTTCTACATTAGTTTTTCTTTTTTTTTTTTTTTCTTTTGTCAAATCTGGTAATTGTTATTGTCCTACAGTGCACCTATTATTGCTTATTTTTTATTCTATTAATAAATTCTGCATACAGATAATCTATGCACGTACAGTGCCCGCAAATTTTGATCCAAAGATTAATTTAAACTCTAATTCTGCAAAAAAAAAAGAGGCTTAGAAATAGAGAGACAGATACTTTGGGTTTCAGCGTCTGATACAATTATGCCTATGAACTTTTTCATATATTTAATATGATATAGTCCATATGCCTTGGACCTGCCCGAGCCCTATACACTTCTCCCAGATATTTTAATTGGCTGAAGGGGAGTGTTTACCTGGGAAGTGAAACAATCTATCAAACATAGCAGTCATGACATTTTTTGTTTGCAATCAACCTGTTATAAACAACTGTTCTGTATGACATCCCATTGTACGGTTTTTCTTTATGTTATTTTAAGCTAAATATTTATTACTTTTACCTATAAACTCTCCCCTCACGGAAAAAGAAGTTATAAATTAATCAATAAAACGTGAGTTATACCAGAATCAGATGTTAATTAAATGAAGAGTGGTGGGAACTCTGGCGCAAAAAAAAAGGGTCTCTTCCCCCTCGTTTATACTTATAGCGGAAGGCAAACTCTTATGACAACAGGGATATTTTCCTATCTATCAAATAGGAGAGACAATCAGATACTACTCTCATGTAGATATTACCTAGTTTTTCCTTTTACTCAAGTTTAGCGGCCTCATTTCCAGAGTGAAAACTGTCATAACCATGAGTAACTAATACCGATGGTTTTTTCTTCCCTTTACCCCATCAAATATTTGTGCATATTAGAAGCAATAAAGCTTAAAAGAAAAACAATACGCCAATCCTCGAAGGGGCTTCTTGTTTTGAAATTTGCAAATCGGATGATACAAACGTTATATGCTCATATTTGGGCATACCATTTCAAGCATTGGAGTCAGGTAAACAAGCTGTTAGCTGATCGGCTTGCTCAATTATAAGTTCATTCCGTGTATCCTATCAAAAGATCTTATTACGCCCTCTTAAAAGTCTGACACTAACAAGAAAATTTATCATTTACCTTTTTTATTTTACTATTCCAAGTAATCTTCCAATTCATCATTGTAAGTGAAAAGTAATGGTTCTATAATTGTTGCAGACAAATCACAGTCTTTCTTATTAATAAACAAGGCTTGATCGTTAGTAAGGGAGGCTATCACATTGTACGTAATTAATTTTCATTTCGATTGGCGAGAGCAAGTACAACGTACGTAAATTTTTAAAAACACAAATATACATACATACAACTTTTTAAGGCCATCGTGAAATTGAATCCGACAAAACGCTCTATACACAACCGGCGTTTAAAATACCTTCCCTACTCGATTGAAAGGATAAAATTCCAAGCTTGGAAGCTTTTAAAGGTTTGTGTATCATCCACTGTTTTGTTTGAAAACCACAGATATCTTTTATTACTAAACATAGACTATGTTTATGTAGGATATCTGCCTAAAGATTAAGGGGGGTGGGGCATTCAAGAAGGGAATATGCAAAAAAAAAAGGGTAGGGAAGGAAGTCTTGGTTAAATCTATGTTCATAGTCCCAAGGAGTTAGTGAATGCATTTATTCTAATCATATTTTGAAGGCCACGAGTTCTTTTTTTTTTAAAAAAAAAAATATCGGGTGATTGTCCGGTGTTCCATCATATTTTAGTGTTTTAAAGAAAAAGTCCCTGCTGTAGACGTTCTGCATTGATCCACTGAAATTTTGGCGAAATACCATTGGCATCTCTTTTTATTTTATTAGAAATAGAGTGATCTGCTAAAGAAAAAAAGGTCGGAATGAGGCAAGAACCTACCAGAACAATTCTACGAATACAATGATCGGGTAGATCGCAGTAACCACACCAAAAAAAGGTTGAACACTTTAGGAATCATACACAAAATGCATTAAACAGACATACCAGATCGGGTGAAACCCTAAATTACACATGGGATTGCACCATGACAAAATACATTTATAGTTTCTATTTGAATTTCGGAGTGAGGATCCCATTGTGATTGATATCATACAGATTATAAACCATTGTGAAATCGAAAATTAACAAAAAAAAAAGAAAACTTTTTTGGATGCATGCACTCAGATACTTATTCAGACTAGCATATTCAGTCACTTAAAAGGGTTAGCAGATAAATACATGGACTCTCCCTTATAATAGTAACAATAAAGGGTATCTTTCGCATAGAGGACAAAAATAAACTTTAATAAAAACCAGATGTTTATCTCTGGTTATCATGATTTCATTGAACGGGGAGGCCTAGCCCCCGCTCCTTCCCCATCTTTAAAACCCCCTTCAAGGTCTATTGTGCTTATTTTGATCAGGCCATAAAATGAGACCGGTCTGGGAAAAATGATAGGTTCTGTAAAAGGGTATTTTTTTTAATGTCGGCTCTACCGGTTCCATATATATTTTTTTTATTTGGTTCCGCTATCAATCAACCCTAAAATAACCTTTTTTTTTTCAACTCCATCTCTTAGTGATTTGTTATGTAATTTTGAAACCCGTCATTTTGATATAAATAGTAAAAATGGGGGATTTACCTGAATAAAAGTCGTACTCTTTTTTTTGGGTTGCAATGTTTGGTGCCGATCAGACGCCAGACATGTTTCAATCTATTTTAACTCGTTCTATAGGATGCAAGAGCATATTGATTGTCTCCATGTCTAGAACCTCCAAATAGAAAATTAAAAAAAAAAAAACGTCTGACTATAATTCCGGAAAAAAAAAAGGTTTTTTTATTATTGACATGTGGGAAGGAAAGTAGTAACATAGAGTAAAAGAGTGAATTAAGTTGAAATATTATTAATAGTTGATGCGTAACAGTAGGGTTTGGTTGATTTTTTATGGGAATTATGCCAGTAAGATATGAAAAAAGTTATGTCTGAATTGAAGTGCAGTTTTATTTGCTCCTGCTTCCATATGCTTTAAATGATGTTGTAATGTCTGTGTTCCCAGCAACATTTTATCTGCAATGATCTTGACCCTATCTCCTTTAGATGAGCTATACCGAGCGCTATTTTCTGTCAACACTGTATATTCTTGAATATCGTCCATTACACCTTCAACTGCCTTGTCTATTCTGTCTAATTCGAGCAGTAAGAAGCTCATGTGTTGAAAGAGTCTCTCCAGATCATTTAGCAGTAGTTTCATCTTGCCATATTTGTTACGGTTTGTCAATTGCATAATTCCACCAGAAAGTCCTTTAATCGTATTCTGTGTTGCTTGTAATTCAAATGACAGTTCTTTTTCAAGCGCTACTATACTTGATGTGGCATTGAAATTGCGTTGTTTGATAGCCTTAAAATCCGCATAAAGATTTAAACTGTATTGCTTAATCTCCAACAGTTTGTCTTCATCCTCAAACACGCCTTGTTTCTTTGCTGCAATAAATCCGCCCAATACGGATTCTAAAATGTTGTAGCTTCTACTGCATAGACACGATGCATCCTTGATGACACTATAATACCCAATGATGATGGCATGATGACCGGGCATGTCAATTTTACTGCGAGAATGAGGCATAAATAAAAATAAAATAAAATGAAAGTATAAAGAAAAGTGAGTTAAATGACAATCAACTTGGGTGAGTCGTTAATTTATAGTGATTTTATATAGTTTGTCCGGGTTGTACATGAATAAGGAGGGGTTTACGGATCTTTCACTCCGCTGCCATTTACACCCACCCGGTTATTTAGCCTTCTGTATACCCCTTTTTTTTTTCTGCAACGTATAACCAAATAATACGTGGCACCAAAAGAAGTAAAAATTTAAATTTACTTAATTACAAGATTTGGCCGTATTGAAATCAATACAATGGCTATACATTATTATTCTCCAAGAGAATTAAGCTTTTAACTGGGACATTTTAATATGAAAAAAACCACATCATTGGGAGGCGGGGAGAAGATGCAAAAACCGCTCCCATTGTTGTTCTTTGAGCTCATTATTCTCTTCATTTACTATAAATAGAAATTTTACACGCTCCATATTTTTTAAAAAAAAAGTGTCGAATGATACATCTTTTTATTTCCACTTTTAGGTTTTGAACACGTTTGTGGTAGTTCATATTCCCAAAATTGACATGTTACATTAAGGATGAACAGTTGAAATAGGAAATTATTGCGGCATCCGTTTATGCCTCTATCAGATGGGGATTGGGTGTTGTACACGGGGAGACAGGGTGCAAAACGATGAGTAATACTTGACAGAAGTAAATTAATAATAAATGAAAAAAAAACGCGTGTCTTTTATAACAAGTTTGTCAAAAAAAAAAAAAAAAAAGGATCCACACACATACGGTATTCCGGAGATTTTCTAACGTTTCACTCGTGCCACCCGTAACTCCCGGATTTTATTATCGCGAGGACGTGTGTAGCATTTCTGAAAAAGATAAAATAAACATTTTCTAGCAGGACAGAATGGATATAATATGCTATTTTATATATATAAAAAAAGGAAATGCACGAAGAAAAAAAAAAACTATTCTAAAACTACTTTTGAGTCAAATTTTGCTTTTGCAATGGCCAAAAGTTCAGGGAATTCTCCACTTCGTTCACACATTTGTTGAAAGATACTTCCATCTCTTGTCATGAGCTCATATGGAGAATCAAATTCTTTTACTTCACCATGATCCAATACCAAGATACGATCATAATCTGCTACTGTACGGATACGATGTGCGATACACAATAACGTGGACTCATTAAACTCTTCTCGGATCGTTTGTTGAATTTGATGATCCGTATCAAAATCTACAGATGAAGTGGCTTCGTCCAAGATAATCAAAGATGTACTCTTGACAAGTGCCCGAGCTAATGCAATCAATTGTCTTTGTCCTTGGGACCAATTATTACCATTGGCTGTCACAGGTGAATCCAAAGAGATATTCTCAACAGACGACACATTGGAAGACTTGATACTACCATCGTCATTTTCAAGTTGACTGTCAATCAGATGAGATCTTTTTAAAGCGGCCCAAAGTTCCGCATCTTCATATTGCCCAAAGGGATCTAAATTACTACGCAAAGTACCAGAGAACAAGACAGGATCTTGAGGAATAATCGTTAACTTTGATCTCAAATCATCCAAACCAATCTTATGAATATCTACACCATCAATCAAGATACTTCCGTCGGTAGGCTCCATAAAACGAAACAGGGACATTGCCAATGTGGATTTACCAGAGCCTGTTCTACCCACAATACCAATCTTTTCACGAGGTCTTGTTTCGAACGAGACATCACGAAGTACAGCGGGGCTATCGGCTGCATACTTCATTACCAAATTCTTGACTTGCACTGTGCCGGATTCAGGCCATGAAGCACGAGGTGCGGTTTCGGGAATATGAGTAGGAGGCTCTTCTTCAACATCAAGGTACTCGTGTACACGCTCAATTGCATTCATATTCATTTCATTGGCTGCGTACATACGTACTACCCAAAGTACATGATGTGTAAACGTAAGCGCATAACTCAAGGACAACCCAGCAAGTCCTGGGTTGACCCACTCTCTTGACATGACAAGCACTGTACCGGCACAGAAACTTACAAAAGCACCCATAACTTCTACACGACAATGCAGCCAACGGTTGGTAGCCCACATCCAGATAAAAGGTCGATTATTTGCATCAACTCGGCTAAAGCTCTCCTCAATAAATCGTCGTTGACTACCAAAGGCACGAATTGTAGCTACACCAATCACTGTCTCATTAAATTGAACATAGATGGGACTTCGTGAAACAGAGTTTAAGCGCTTGAGATCACGAGAGGAGTTTAAATAGTAGAGTCCCATGGACTTAAACATGTAGGCTACAAATACACCAGGGATGATAAAAGCGGGGGTAATGACAGAGACGAGAACAGTAACATAGAGGGTGGCAACAATGGAGTAAACGAGATAAGAAAGTGAGGGCGCGACAGCCTGATCAATCGTTTCAAGATCAGAAGAGAACCGGTTGACAATACGACCCATGGGTGTAGTATCAAAGAAACGTACTTTAGCACGAAGAATGCGATCAAGTAGTTGGGCGTGAATACGTTTCGAAGCCTCGAGAGAACCAGCAAAAAGCACCATATATCTTATTGTGGTCAGACACAAGGAAAGCATACCAATCAGAAAATAGATACCAAGATAATATCCGACATCTACAGCTTTACCCTCCTTCATGACAGTAGCAAATGCTTTGACAGAGGCAGGGATCATGAAGTTGTAGGAGTGCATGGCATTAGCTATATGTTCATTAGGTGCTGACATGGCAGAGAACTCGCTATAGTTGAATACTACTTGTTTTAAGGAAGTGTAAGCAGACGACCATACTTTGATCCAGTAATCTTGACCCATGACAGAGGCTTGAGCCAGAAAATAGAAGGATAATACAAACAACCATAAGAAGAATCCACCAGATGCATGGTAGTAGGTCTTATACACACCCCAGCTCACACCGCCTTCAGCCCGTTTCTCTTCTTGGACAAGTTTACCGGCTCCACTCGCAGTTACCTTGTTGTTCTTCTTTGGAATGTTAGGAATAGGGCCTTCCAGAGCAGCCTCTTCTTCAGCATCTATCTCTTGCATCCAACTCTCTTCAGAAAAGTCTTCACCCAAGACACCAGATTGAATCACTTGTAAAGGTGTACCCACAGCAGCTACAGATCCTGATTCCTCCAAGGCAACCACATAACTAGCACTCTTTAAACACAAACCAACGTGATGTGTAACCAAAATAACGGTACGATCTCTCATATACTCTCCCATAAGACAGTATTCATGTAAATGTTTCGCTGTATGAGCATCTACCGCACTGAGACAATCATCCAGAATCACAATATCTGCTTGGGAATAGACAGCACGTGCAATGGCCACACGCTGCTTTTGTCCGCCACTTAGCGTGATACCCTTTTCGCCTACCTCTGTGGAATCACCAAACTCTAAAATCTCGAGATCTCGTGTTAAGGCTGTCATGTACAGGATTTTTTCATATCGCTCTTGATCATAATCCAGACCAAACAAAATGTTATCACGGATGCTACAGTTTTGCAACCAGGCTGTTTGGGCTACATAGGCAATACCAGAGACAGCGCCACCAAGACTGGAGGATTTGGTATACTGTTTACGAGGTAAAATAGCAGACCCGGAAAGACAATAAGTTTCTCCCAAAAGACTGGATAGAAGCGTGGTTTTACCAGATCCCGTAGGACCACATACAATCGATAACTTATTCAAAGGGAACGAAATGTTGAGATTCTTTACATGCGCGGTAGCATCGCTACCCTTATTCCAACTAAAGCTTGCGTTATCAATAAATCCAACGTGAGTAGATGATGCTGTATTCGGGGTAAGGGATTGGACTTCTTCTTCTTGCAGAAATTTTTCGATACGACTCAAGGAGACATTGGCTTGCAAGATAAATGAGGTGATCAAAGGGAGTTCATCCAAAGTAGACTTAAAGTTGTTGAAGAGAGCTAAAGCTGTGAATGCAGTTGAAGCGGTTAACATAAATTCACGTGTGTATGCATAAAACACCGCCACCATAATCATGACAGGAATCAAGAACCAGACATTGTTCAATACCATCATACTGTAAAGTCGAGAACGGACAGCCTTGAGCTCTTCCTTTCTTGATTCATTGACACGTTCACGGAATTGCTTTTCCCAGGCAAAGAACTTGATGATTCGAATTGCAGAAAGTAATTCATCCATTAATCGAATACGTTTATCAGTACAGGCCATAGCTCTATGCTGGATCTTTTCAATACGTCTACTTAACCAGTAAGTCAGAGGTTGAGATATACAGATGATAAAGACACCCCACAACGATGCATGTCCTAAAAGTTTATACAAACTCCAGACACAGATTGTGATTTGAATAGGGAAACAGTAAATGTAAAACACATAGGCGGTTAAATCACCCATCTTTTGTGCATCCACCGATAAAAGATTATTGACATTGATTTTAGGTTTACTGGTCAAACCTTCTTCTGCCGTACCACCGCTTTCATCCCGACGTCTCAACGACTTTTCATAGACCTCACCAATGACAATAGATTGAATACGAATACCTAATGTACGGCCGATATAAAGCGCCTGTTGGTAACTCAAGGATTGTCCTGATGAAGTAAGGAATAAGCACAGCACATAGATAAATGCCGAAGAAACCGGCTCGTCTGTCTCATGACCATTTTCAATAAACTTGATAATCTTGTTTAAAAAAAAGGGAGGACCAAACATCAAGACAGACCAAGCCAGAGAATACCAAAACTGAATCCACAAGGGGGTTTTGAAACAAGACAGTAAATTCCAGGCCATGGCGGATTTTCTTTGCAGACGATACATCATCAGTGTGAATTTGGCTCGGTTATCGGTAGGTAACTCAATCAGATCTTCATCATTTAATGTTTTGTTGTTTCCCTTTTCCATCATTTCATTGACCCACGAGAACATAAATTTGGAGTATGTAGATGCCCAGTCTTCACCAGACATGATACGACCCTATTTGTACCATGGGTTATTTAATTACACTTTTTTTAAATCATCCCCCCCCTCCTCCTCCTCCTCCTTTCTTGAAAACTTACTGTATCAGCAATAATTGGTTCTGCAGGAGCATATCTTTCTTCATTCACGGCAAAGATCAACAATAAAATGGTAAGTGCAAACGACACCATACATGCTTGATATCTGTCACTAACAGTAGAGATATCATATACTTGATAATAGGCATTGAGGTTGACAAGCTGAATTAAAAATTCCAAAATATACAAAACATTCAAATGCTTGCAAATGACATCACTGAATGCTCTAGTAGTGCCATCAGCAGACAATGAAAACACGATATTTAATACAGCCAACAAGACACCAAATGTCTAAATAAACATTCGTTAGTAAACAAAAACAGGCTTATGAGAGAAGGAGGAGGAGGGGGGGGGGGTGATATAAATTTACCCAAAATCCAATGCGAGCGTAATACATACGCAACATATTGCTATAAGAACCTTCCACCTCTTTATCGATCTCCTGTGAAGCATCGTGGATTAACGACCAGGTGCCGTAGACAACCAAAGCCAGTTGAGAAACCGACAAAATCAATCTCATCAAGTTGTACACAGACCATGGTTGGCAACGCTTCTCGAATTCGACAGAGGGTGGTGTTACAACGGTATCAGATGAACTTGAATCGGATGTGATATCTACAGTGCCATAGCTTGGAAGCTGGGATTTTTGGTTGATGAGGGTGTATGAATGATCTTGTTTATGGTGTTTGACTGCCTTTGCTAATAAAACGCACAAAGAAATTGCAATTGAAACTGAGAGCAATATAGTATTCAAATAGCTGATTCTTATGTTTAGAAGACGGGGACTTCTTTGTTTTTTTTTGTCTTGTTTATACTTACTTTTCTCGAACACAGGGACTTGGTTGGCAATCTTGCCATGGATCCTATTCATTCTAAATGAGTTCACTGTAAAAAAAAAAAAATGTAAAACAACACTCACCCATATGCTACACGTGTCTAGCATTTGTTTATCAACAAAGATAATGATATAGGAAGAAAGAAGAGATAAAAAAAAAAAGATAAAAAAAAAGAAAGAAAAAATGGGTAAAAGATAGACAATTTTTATATGCTAAATTTAATGGTAGTACACACAATTAAAGAAAACACTTGAGGTTACACACATTGCATCCAAAAAAGGTACATTTTCTGTAATAAATCCACCGTGCCCACGGAGCTCATTTTTTCTTTTTTTTTATGAGTAAAAGCACCCTAGACTACTTTATATATCTCCGTTGGTTACTTTAGACGTTTCAAGGTCTTGTTATCGTCAACGTTGCCATGGTTCAACGTTTAAGGTACTCACGGGTAAATATTTCTCAAACTAACTAAAGGTGTGATCTCCGCCACTGATAAAGCATACTTCGACAACACATAAATCAGAAAAATAGCTATGGCGATTGGCCTTTGATAAATCTATACACATGACTATTGACGATGGTACCCCTTCTCCCCCCCCCCTTTTTTTTTTATAGAGCACTTAAGAAAAGATCATCTTTGTGATTGATTTGGCACTTATTACCATATCGAATCCAGCATGTAACCTCATCTTCTGTAATTTCTCAGGCCCGTCCCCAATAGGATGAGTGAAAGGATAATGAAGTAAACACCGCATTACAAACTTTAAACAGATCTGATGAGTGACTTTTAATAAGCATGTAAACCTTTTAAAATCAGATATCATGTCGGCTTGTTGCATTCTGGATTAGTTATAATGATTTGAAATAACGTCTTAGTCATAAATTATTCTCCGTAATTTTCTACTGATGCGGTCGACAATTATTGTTCTTTGGGTTACCTTCATTATCAGGAACATTAAAAATAAGCGACAACGAATAGACAGTCTCCCCGATTCAGAAAACATAGCAGCGGATAATGACATATAGTAAAAAAAAAAAAACTCTTCTGCCAGAAGATTTGTTATCATTTGGGTTTCGGTAGCAAGACTATTCATTTGATCCAGATAGGGCACGGCCATTGATGCTTATACGTGAACAATGCGTTTCCTTTCTCCAAAAATAGTAGTTTGACTTGCATTAACCAAAAAGGTTTAGACTATTCAGGCTTTACACTTTTTATTCCTTTGCAGTGCTATGTCCTATCCATCAATGAAGACTATGGTATATATTTAAATTAGACACAGTGATATAACTGCCAGAATTATAAGGTCAGTATTAAATTGTAATTATACACATTATTACGATACTTTTTTATAGAGAACACAAAGGTATTAAAAAAAGTGACGCCATTTTGACAGTGAAATGACGCCACTCAGGGGAGGATTTATATATAATAAGATCTAATAAGAGAGAGAGAGAGAGAGATAGAGAGATAGGAATTTATTCATCCTTTTTCAAGGGTTCTTCTTCCGTCTTCTTGACAGGATGGATGACGAATCTCCATAATGGGAAAAAGACAAACAAGACCGAGAAAGCAATGGACCAACCAACCTTCACAACCATAGGAGCAGTAGCATGGAATTCGTTCTCGGAAAACTTGAGGCAGACCAAGGTTTCGGTCATGATGTTAAAGATGAGTAACCAAGCATGAGCACCCATACGCTTGCAGTTACTATCACTGATATATTGGTAAACTTCTCTAGCTCCAGGAAGGGCAAAGAAGAACAAAATTGTTAAACGATATGTGTTGATAGGATGCTCTGGGGGAACCCAAAGAAGATATTTGAGATAGAAACAATTCAATTCGCATTGTAAAAACTAAAGAAAAAAAAAAGACCCTTATAAATAATCATTCTTTCCCTTACTTTTTTTCCATACATCAAACTTACCACAATCAATAAGAGAACAGTGCCAAAATAGTTCTTGGGTGTGCTGGTAGTCTTCCATTCGTAACGTGTCCATTCACGGGGTGTAAATTGTTGGACCGCGCGTTTGGCTTTACCACGTAATGACTTGATCTGTTTAAATCCAACCCAAGAATATTGCTATATTATATATATATATATATATATATATATTTAGATTAATTTGAAGGGAGAAATACAAGCTCTGATTTGTGTTACCTTTACGGAAAAGTATTGACAGAATTTCATGCCTACAGCAATACCAAGCCAGTTACATAATAACACATCGAGAATCCACTATGAATTGTTTTTGTTCAGTTATACGTACGTAGTATGTAATAAAATAAGCACTCACATGATCCCACCAACATTCGGCAAAGTTATTCAGCTGATGCTCCAGAGAGTATTCACATAATTCAAAAGCGATTGAAATGATCCAACACATCCAATAATCTCTAAGGATTAAAGTCTTACCAAACCAACCTACAGCATGGGCAATCACGAAAATATCGAGTTGGTTCTATCATGTAAAAATGAGATTAATCCACTGTAAAAAAAAAAGATGGGATGTTTATGTAAAATTACCATCACATTTTCTTTGGTCAAGACACATGCATCAGCATAAGACCTCTCGGGTAACTCGATGCCTAAAGAGGGATCGAAATATTTCATGAACTGACGAGCGTCATCTTTATTCTAAATATATAGTTAGTACACAATAATTATATCATTTATATTTCCACTTTACCAAAAACAATAAGAAGACTAGACATAATTGATAAAGTACGCTCAAACTGAGCACAGCTCTCCAAATAGGTTTACTAGGACGCACAAAAGGACCATCCGGGAATTGAAGCATTCCAATAAATACAAAACAAGCAACGGCTGCTAGGAGACCCAATTTTATACTATCGGCAGTGTTTTCATAATTGGATCGAGTGGCAGCATAGAACATGAGGGCCAATAGGATGACCAAGGCAGTCAAAGTATGGGGATGAACTAAAACAAGGTTCCATGAGTTGACATGTCCCAAACTCCGCCTATTAACACACACACACACTTAATACTTACAGATATCTTCATCGAGAATATGTGTATTCTTTTCGACTGTGTTATCAGTCTTGACAACAGTGTCGTCAACTTTTGTCATGATGTTGTTTCAGGGATTACCCTTTTCGAGATTTTGTACTGTTTGAAAAGAAAAAAAGGTCGAAAAAAAAAAAAGAGTATATATTTACACGGCAAGCCTCGTTATTATTTTTCAGTTTCGAAAAAAGAAATTAAAAAAAGAAATGCCTGTTTAAATAGTGAAATGTATACAACAGAGAAGAAAAGTAAGAAAAGAATAAAAAAAAAAAAAATTTGTTAAAAGTGGGGAAACAAGACAAAAAAAAAAAAAGTTATGGTGTGACGATCAAAAATTTATTTTAAATTTGTCCCTTGATATCAACTTTGTTGTATGTTTTACTTTGCGCTAACAGGACAGGTAAAGCAGACTTTGTATCAAACATGACATCCTTGTTCTTACTTATGATTTGCTTGATTCCATGTTCTCTCAGGAACTTGGCCAATGACTTCACATTATCAAAAGCCAATTCTTTCGCGATAAATGAGATGGATACACCCATTTTGTAACTAATAAAAACGTTATTTCTTGTGTAATGTCTATTTAATAAAAACAAGAAACTTACGCTTTGCACATCACAATTAATGCATCCACTCTTTCTCTTCCGACAAACTGATCCAATAAATAACCTCCCATATTAGGAGCTGTTTCATACAGCTGAAAAAACTTGTGATAATTGCCCTTAGCCAATGAGGAACGAATCATCAATGCGTGCTGGACACAATCAGCGTGATTATCCATGTTATCACACATCTCCTCCAACATGGCATTGATATCGGATTGATTCTGCGAGAATAACATGTATAAGATTCGATAAGCTAAGAACTCTTCTTCATTTCCTGGAATGTTTTGCTCATACAAATATTTCAATTGTGTTTGACACTGGTTATATTCCCCAATATCTCCCTAATACAAGCGTTACTTTTTCTTTCATGTTTCACCGTACCATCTTTCACAATTTGTTTACCTTTTCTAGAGCAATACGAGCATGGGTTTCATAAACCTTGACTGTAAACTCGTTTCGAATTCTTTGTACCTGACATTTTACCACTTTTTATAAATACATCATTTGACTAATAAAAATACCTTGTTTTACTTACCGTTAAATCCTGTCTCATCGATTTGAATTGCTCACAGATATAAGAATAATTGCCTTCCTCTTTCCACTTGGTTCTAAGCAGCTTAAACGCCTTTTTTAAAATATTCAATGGGCGAACTGTTGCTGGATCAGCAGCCTTATTTGCATACACATTAGTTCCTGTCGTAATACATATAACTATTAAAAAAACTTACAGAGGTCAGACGGAAATAAGGCTTTTCCAATGCCACGCTTGTTCCTACAATCACTGCGTTTCTTGCAGTTGTGGCTTCACTTTCCCAGGTAATAGGGGTATACTTATTCTTCTTTTTCGGCACAGGAGGGGGTGAACGTGCCACTGGAACATCGTTTTGAAATCGCATGGCTCTCATTTGTCTCTTTTTCTCTTCGTTTGGGGTCAACTCAATATTCCCCAGCTTAGAAATAATGCTCGCAGGTCTAACAACAATGGTTGAGTCTTTCACGCTTGGGTGTGTTTTAATCAGTAACTTACTTTTTATGAAACAGAGTGGATGCATTAGGATTCTTTGTGTCTATGCAAGCACTACAAGAATTTTTCTTTCTTTATAAGCGTCCTAACGGCAGCAAAAAAAAAGTTATCTTATATTACCTTGGTAAATCGCGCTCGTTCCAGTCAATTAAGTCTGTCATGTTTGTTCTTTCTGCTTGTGTAATAATACTTTTTAATTGTGCTTCCAAGAGTTTTGTTTTTTCTGGTGCGCAATTGTTAAACGCATTGGTCACATATTCCCTACATTGAAAAGGCAATGAATATCACAAATAGAAAGTGGGGGGCCTGTCATAATTTACGTTAAGGCTGAAGACTTTGGCTGTTCTTTGATTTGTTTTGTTGCCAAAGCTTGCTTTTTTTTACCGCCAGTCTTGACGCTGATAAATTGAGGTGTTTTGTCCATATTTAAGCCTACAAGAATGAAATAAAGTATAAGCTGTTCCTTTTAGTTAATGTAGTTTTTATACCTGATTGTTTGTAAAGTTTAAAAAAGTTCTTCTTTTTCATTATTTGCCTCTTATTTTTTAAAACTCACTGATTTGGGAGCAAAAAAAAAATAATCTCTCACAGGACTGTTGCTCCTTAGCGATCCACACTTGATAGATCGCTCAGTTTATGACACTATGCATGCTCTAATAAGGCATAATTGTAATACCAATACTGGTTTAACACCAAATAGTGTATTTTTATTACAACTTAAACTGGTTTCTGCCATTCAAGCATAGAAAAGTTCGTGACCTGCTGTAGAAACTATCAGCCAATAAAAAGCCCTGAATATCAAATCATCGGAGGATCAAATCTGGGCCGCTGGGGGTGCGCGAACCCGCCCCCAAGCGGGCACAAACTAAAGAACGATTATCAATTCATAAAGGACTCTCTCTCAACTTCTTCGTTCATTAATCAGTATGGTACGTTAAGACACTTAAAGCCTATTTCACAAGAAAAAAAAAAAAAAAAAAAAAGAAGGGCAACAACACAAAATCGACAAATATTAGAGGATGGATGGATAAAAGTTGGATGGATGGATATAGGATTTGGATTAGATTATAATCTTTTTGATTTGCCCTTAATTTTTTTTTTTTTTTTGCTTGTGAAATTGGTGGCATGGGGGTTATAAATGAAATTCTGATTTTGTTAACATGTCGATTGTAGACTTGCAAGAGAAGAAATAACGGACGTAACAAGCACGGTCGTGGTCACAACAAGGTTGTTCGTTGTATCAACTGTTTCCGTTGTGTCCCCAAGGATAAGGCCATCAAGAGATTCACCATCCGTAACATGGTTGAAGCTGCTGCTGTCCGTGATCTCCAAGAGGCCTCCATCTATGAGGGTAAGTCATAAAACCTGTGAGAGAGAAAGAGAAAGAGAGAGAGCGAGCGAGCGAGAGAAAGTTGTGTGTACACACGTCAAAAAATAAGAGCGACACTAACCTTGGGTCATTATAGAATATGCCATCCCCAAGTTGTACGTCAAGCTCCACTACTGTATCTCTTGTGCTATTCACGCTCGTGTCGTCCGTGTTCGTTCTGCTGTCGACCGTAAGAACCGTCTTCCTCCTCCCAGATTCAGATTCCAAAAGGTAAACATCTCTTTTCTCTAAAATGTTAAATGTGTATACTAACTTTTCTTTTTACTCCTTTAATAGAAGGCTTAAACTATTTAGTTTAATACTACTTTATCCTGGGAATCTTATTTGATCACTTTTTAAAAATAAAAACTTAAAAAAGGAGGTTGTCTTGCACAATTTTTGTTTATCATATCATGTATTCTACGCTTCATTGTATGTGTGTGTGTGTGTGTGTATCAGTTTCTTTCTCCGTCCAAAAAAATTGATGCATCTTGCTTTACCCACATTTAATCAAATTTCCCTTTGCACCCTTGTTTATAGATTATCAAGCAAATGTGCTCATAATACTTGTATTTATCAAGTCAGCAAAGAAAAGATGTGAGATATGGCCATGTACTGCTTACATAAAAATCAATGCAAGCATGTAAAGGAATTAGAATTAGTCCTCGTAACAGATCAATTACTTCATATGTCTCTGTATGCCGTCTTTGTGCTGTGAAAGTCGACATATACAGAGAAACAGGTCTCCGGTGCTATCAAAAAAGATATATATATCATCTGTTTCAAATTAGTGTATAAAAAATACTATGATGGGATTTTTTTTCGTTTTCTTTTTCTTTACCAAAAACATTCTGATATCATCAAAGCTATAATGGGATCTCTAAGCGAAGACCTGGAAGAACTTAAAGAAGTAATGCCGGAAATGAATACAGTCGATGGCCTTAATGCAATGGTGACTCTTGTGAAAGAAATAGGTATGTTCATAGTCCGTGCATCTGATGATACGTTATCACTTGCTGTGGAGGTCAATGGAAAAGTATATATCGATAGTGAGCCTCTTCCCGTTCTGAAAGAGTTTGGCAGAAACGTATTAAGAAGTACCGAATCTCTTCCTGTTTTTTCAAAAGAAGATGTGCTCAACAAAGAAAGATTGCATGGTGTATTAGGCTCCGCCAAAGGTCCTGAGTCAAAATTATAAGTTACAAAGCGTTTCTCTCCCAAAAGCTGATAAATAATTGGTCGTCTTTCTTCATGCTCTTCTGTATTGCTTTCATTAATAAACTAAAGCGTATTCGTTAGTTACTTTGTCAGCTTTGTTTTAATTTTAATCTTTTTTTCAAAAACATCCATCATTATTGTCTTTTATGGAGCAGAGACTTTCTTGTTATGCATGATGTTAAGCATTTATGCTCCAAATTAACGACACTTTTTGTGTTAATCGTATGCATAATATAAGGAACTGCTGGTGGGATGTTCATATATGTTCAAGCACTTAAAACAGAGTACCAATTTATCAAAAACAATAGCTTATTGATTGATTGAATTTTCACCCCTGTTATCGCACTTGTTTTTTATATTTAGTTTCCTGGCACTTGTAATCATATTTAATCTTAAACACTAAACTCAAAGAAAACCTTGGGAAGGAACACTTTCAGCTATATGCCCTCTTTTTCTCGGGTCTCTGTCATATTTTGGAGCTTAATTATGCCGTTACCAATACTACGAGAGCATCAACCCTAAATGTTTATATATTATTTTGCCTGTGAAAATTGCTTTAGCAAGAGTGAACGATGCAAATCGGTAATCAACTGCCCAGAACTTATGATACAAACCAGTTTTTTATAAAAAAACATTATTCTTATAGACAGGCAACAATTGTTATTTTTTCTTTTAATTATTACTTTTTACCCCTCCCACCTTCCCAAGTATGCAAAATGAAATTTCTTTTGTCTGAATGATATACTGCAATTGATCACTATAAACTATCAAGAAATATATACTCGGTGTCATTTTTTATTTTTTTATTCTTTACTAAAAGACTCGGGCCCTATAATTGGGTATTGATATAGTATGTTGCAAGAGTGATACCTAAAAAGATGAATAAATCAGTAATGCTTCACTATTTAGACAATGTCGATTTAAAAGTTACCGGGTTTTTGTAAACGGTTAAATGCTTAATCAGAATATCAAATAACTCAAATATCAAAACTACAACCAAAAACGACACATCCAACAATTTTATTTTGTAAAGACAAAAATTCTGTGACATAGCAGCGTTTCTTATTATCAATATACAAACAAGGATCACGCGTTAAAGGAAACACGCCACTCCTGATTAGCAATGACGTTTGGATATGGTTGCACCAATCAAATAAACGGCGTACATGTCCGCTTAAGCTTAGCACTGAATCCGATCTGAATAGTATATAAAGTAACCACGGTCTTTTATAATATAAAAACACTCTTTTATTTGGAGGCAACTTACTTTCAAAAAAAAAGCGCAATGGGAAAAATACCTGGAACAACCAAGTTCCGTGCAAAGCCTGAAACACCTCCTAAATTACTCTTCTGTGATATCTGTAATTATGAAACATTGTGTCGAAACTCTTATAAAGTACATGAAAGGTCACAATATCACGTCCAAACTATAGAAGAACGTATGTCCAAAAAACGACGTGCTCAGGATAAAAAGCGCACCAAAGAAATAAAACAATTGTAAGTGAGCATTTTTATCAAGCGATAATGCTTATAATTCACCCCTTTTTTAATTTATTTTTAGGAATACTACTGAGGCACGATCTACTTTCATAAAAATCGAACCTCAAAGTCCAGATATAAAATTTTTTGACAGGTAAAGATATTTGATATGATTATTTTTGGAGCGCGTTTACATTTTAAAACTTACACCAATATATGCTTTAGTCCAATCCAATTTGAACATACGAAAGATGACAAATTTATACAACAATCAAGCCAGTCTTAAAATTTATGAGATTGTGTTTAGACCATCTCTCCTTGTACACAAGTAAACCCGATTTTAGAAGTCTACAGAAGGATTGATCGACATTTAAAAACTTTAGAAAATCGAAGGAGTTTATCTTGTCCTTTTATTACACGTCAAAAATAAAAGTGACTTCCCACAAGTGTATGTGCTTATCTAAATCCCTCAATAATTTCAGTTTTTTATACCAATCTTTCATCGATACTTACAAAAACAATCGCTGTGCACTTATTCTCGATAATACAAAATCGTTCAGCAGATGACCAGATTCTCGAATGCCGTATATATAACAATTGCTATAATTCTCAAATGACTAACTAGTAGCGATTGGCTTCTTTATACATGCTACCATATTGTGAATAACATTGTTATAGAGAAGAAGCAAGTAGCTGTGGTAGATGTGATCCTTCTGAAGGAAGATGGTGTTCAGATGTTTTTTATTGCTGCATCTTTAGTGACAACCAAGTAAAAAAAAAAAATTTAGTACAAGTAGTCATTGACTAAAAGATTATTGTTCAGACTGATTTTAAGAACAATAGGGCTAGATAGAAAGTAAAGTGCATCCTTGCCCCTCTGTCTTATGACCCAATGAACGTCATTGTTTAATATAATTATCATCCCATCGTGATTTCAAAATATGTAGATTATTCAAATAAAATAACCTTCAACTCGAATAATCGGTCTTCCTAAAATATCTTTTTGTCCATAAAAAGTTGTAAATAATAACATTGCTCCGTGTAACCACCATGATCAGCCTTCGTTGTGACAAACTGTAGTTGAGTAACAACTTTGTGATAAAAAACGAGGGGGCTTTTGTCATTCATGAAGATATTAATTTTAAATTCGAACAAGAGATCGATACAAGAGTGACGCATGCAATCATCAATTTCTGCTGCATATGTGCTTCTTTTAATTATGTGCTTCAAAAAAGACAATGATTTTTGCATTTTGTTTCTTTGTCATTTAATGTCAGCGCTGTAAATGCCCCCCCTCCTCCTCTTCTTAATTACATTGTAACCATGGTATCAAATTAATTTATATGATCATTATGTTTTTTTTGCTCTCACGATATGGTCGATTACTCTTTTTGATATCAATAAATAATAATGATTCCGTGTTCACACTTGGGATCTGGGTATTTGAGTTAAACATGCAACAAAAAATCGGGTTTCTGTTGATTGATTTCCCTCAATGTATGCAGGTAAATAAGCCTTTAATTAACCTTTTTTCTTTTCTTTGGCATTATTAACCAGTGGCAAAAAAGAAGGTCTCTTTGTATTGTTTATGACAATGGCAATTAATCTACATGAAACCATAACGAAAAGCTATTTATTCATTACTGTGTATTTCTAGATTCTGTATATCATTTCCTATGAAACTTTTCCTCCCCAAAACACACAAGTATTACATTACTCATTCTAAGAGTACCCCCCTTTCCTCCAGGCCGGTTTAGTTCCAAAACAATAATTACTAGTAAAATGGAGTTTTTGTCATCCGGTTTGATTCAAGAGATATAATATAGATTTGTGTTCGATCTGGCTGAGTTGCTTTGAGTGGGTATTGTATGTTTATGCTCATTAAAAAGTGCATGAGGAACGCCATCATAGAGTTTTCTTAAAGTCCGACGATGAATGACAGACAGTGTCCCCCAATCGCGAAAATGATTGTTGTAATAGTAAATTATCAGTTTGATAAAGAATGAATTTCTTTGATAAATCATCGCGTTCACAATGATTATACGCACTCTAAAATTTACTTTTTGATTGTCTTTACCATGTTACAATGACTCAGCTTTTGAGACTAAAAAAGACTTTGTATGCGCATTCAAAAGACTGCGGAAGACGAAATGGTAGCAAAAAAAGGACCGTAAACTCTATCCGGCCCAGTGTTCTAAAAATAACCTCCTGGGACTGACGTATGAAATTTTGTTGGAAGCCAAGATTTTTTATAGGGGTAGAGCGAAAAAAGCGTAGCACAAAGAAATTTGGCAGATAATTGGTTTTTGGGAACAGCTTCAACCATATATGTACATGTATTTTTAGCAGGTGCTTATAAAAACCCACTGATCCCCAAGACCCAAAAAAAAAAAAATCACATTCATTATTTTTCTTTTCTCTCTTCAATTAAATTATTTAAAAAAAAAATAAAAAATGGGCTGCTGTATTTCTCATTGCAAAGTAAATATACTCTACATTCATTCATATTATCTATGCTAAAATGTGCATTTTATTAGGTAAGCACGATCGAAGTGGTGTTGGATGAAAATGGCGTTGCTCGCCGTGTACCTGCAGGACAAGGTACACATTTGATTCGAACCATGCCTGACAAGGAAACCAGAATGGAAAGAAAGGAACCCACAAGGCCCTCGGAGATGTCCAATCTATCTCGTCCTCAAGCTGCTTATTACCCGGCAAACATGATGTCCTCTCCTTTTCCACCCTCCAAAAAAGTGCATCCGCATATCGTCGTTAGCGAGGAAAAGGTCTAAAAAGAACTAGCTTTTGCCAACACAATTTTTATATATATATCCCCTTTTTCAGTTGTGTAAATAAGCGTTCCTTTCTTGATCTACTATCTTTTCCCCCACAAACATATACATATACCAACAACTGTCAGTCTCTTCTTTTTTCCATCCCCGCTAATATCTAATTCGTTTCTTTCCACAAAACTATCACTAAAGGAGGGCCACTTTCTTATAAAAAAAAAGTGCCCTTTTTGTTCCAAAATCACTCATCTAAATAAAGATCGTTTTATCAAAATAACAATAACATTATTATAGAAATCCATTTCTTAAAAAAGGCAGTTAGTGGGGCTGAAGTGATTTTTTTAACAAGAATGGCTCAAGTGACACGAATTCTTTTTTTATACCAAAAAGCTAAAATTAGTTTTTTTTTTTTTATTATTATTATTGATATGCATCCTCTCTAAAGTTGACATTTGAACTCTTTTTTGATATTTTGCCACCTAACCCTTTGAAGCCTAATCCATGACCATAAAAAGTACTGTTATTATTACCGACCTGCAAATTTTTAATGCCATGTTCAAAAGGAAGTCCCGACGTGGCATCCTCGGTGCCGGCACGTTTGGCATACCGTTTAATGTCGGTTTTGGAAAGATTGATACGGAACGCGGTCTCAAGAAGCGTGTTGGGTTGAAGGTATTCGTGAGGTATATGTAAAAGAAACGCCAAGAGCTCCGAGTTGGTAGGACACGACGTAAGTAAATAGTCTAAGTATTTTAGCGTAAGTTTTCTTTTGCACATACATAGATGATGCTGTTCTTATATATATATATATATATATATACCTTTGCAGATTTCCATAATGGCAAGACTGACTCTGTAAAACACTTTGATGCCCTCGAAATAAAACGCATCCCATACACGTAATACAGAGTCCCATGGCAACGTCATTGTAAAGGCGGTCAAAAACCATTGCGCAATATACATGATGGGCAAGACATCTTGCGTCTCTAAATGTTGCGCCAGCTTGGGGTTATGATCTTTTAATAATTCGCCAATGATGTAAGCGTCGATACGTAGTTGAGAGAGTGTGGGTGTAAAGTATCCATTCATGTATCTATCAATGGTAGCGACCATTAACCAGAATGTATCCTGTCACATTGAACACTAATCAGTACATTTAAGCATATTCCTCATCTTGTAAAATCTTACCTCTACCGTCATATGCATCAACATAAGACCAGCCAATCGGCCCATACCTTGGCAGTATTCTAGATGCGAATTATACTGCGAATAAGCTTTTAAAACGCAGCTAAGATCCTGTTGTCCCTGACCGTTTTTATCCATAAACTGGGTATGATCTGGATAACAACGCGCGATATCTCGTTCGATGACCTCATAGATTTTGGTGACAGGTTTACCCACGAGTATTCTAAACTGATTTGGTTTACGGTAATCGTCCGAACCAGCCAGGAATTGCCATACACGCGATCGCACGGAGGCAGGAATACCACTACGTACCAGCTTTTTCATTTTGGCATCTTTCTTGACTGTGCCTGCATCTAATTTGTTGACAATCGATAGCCATTTTAATTCGTTCTCTCTATATTCCTTCATGGATTTGGGCGATAAATTGGATCTGTTTTTCTTATTTAGTATAACAATTATCTACTTGTAAGAAACAAAAAAAAAAAACTCACCTGCGACTGCGAGAATTCGAATTGGGTTGGTTGGGCTTAATGACAAACCCGTATTCATCAACAGACATGCTTTGTGAGCCGGGAAATTTGGAGACAACAGGAGCACTAGGTCTTGCATTCGTACTGTACTCAAAGTCGTTTTCGATATCATCGTCAGTTGTCACACCATCCGTATCGTGCTGATTCATGTGTTTGGCAGGAGCCACTTTTGCAGGAACCGCTTTTGTCACATAGGATTTGGGAGCTGCACTCGATTTAGGCTTAACGGATGGTGTATAGTTGGGTTCATCATCCTGATCTGAATAATCAATGTTGAAGGCGGATGTGTCATAAGGGTCGTCGTCATCCATACGTATCAATCTACTCTCATCTTGGGTGCGAAGCTCATTTTAATTAATTGTCGTACAATAGAAGAATAAGTTTTGTTATTACCTGGGTTTTCTTCAAGGGATTGGCTGGATAGGTACGATGATTGCAAATTGGATATTGAGATGGAAGAGTTTGTTCGGATACTTTCAAAGCTTGGCTTACTCAACCAGTGAGATTGAGTGGGTAACACTACATCTGAGCTGGAATATGAATCTCTGCCATGTTTTTCACTTGTTCCATAACTACTGGCTGAATTTCGGTACTGTGAATGATCTGTAAAATCAAGATCTGCGTCCAAGGATTCTAACACTCGCGGATCCAATTCGACAAAATGAACGCTCTCTGCATTAAAGTTACCAACAACTCCCTCACAATACCCCTTTTTTTTTCGGGTTGAATAAAGTCAGTGATATAAAAAGGGAATAAATAGTAGATCAAAATACCATGTAAATATCATTCTCAATATGTTTCAACACAATGATCCTTTCACCTGATATAGACATGTGTTAGTGCACAGACGAAAAAAAATGTCAGACTTTTTTTATTTTATTATTATTATTATTATACCTTGCAAGTACATGAGTTCTTCAGGTGTTGTTGCAAGAACATCTGCTTTCGAGACACAGGCACCCAGCCCACCTATTCTCATCAACATGTTAAAGATGAGTCTACAATAAGCTCTCAATAAAATAAAATAATCTCACCATTTTCAGCAAATTCTTTCAGTTCGGTCAAGGACATGGCATCTATATTTATGGAGGCATGCTCTATTGCCTCTGCAGGATCTTTGAGGAGTTGCGCAATCTTTTCATGAAGTTCTTCGAGATTAGTTGATGTATGTTTCGTAACTTTCGAATCCATTTATTAAGTGTATAAAAAAAAATATATATGTATATCTATTAAAAAAAAAAAAAAAAAAAAAGTGGTGTTTGAAAGACAGAAAAGGAAAGCATTCATGTCAAAAAAAAAAAAAAAAAAAAAATTAAATGTCTAAATCATCATCAGGATCTTCGTCATCAAAATCATCCGCAGCATCGGGATCATAATAAATTAAACCTGTCTTCTTTTCTTCATCCATGGTAACTTCGAATTGCTGTGCCTTGATATAAGGTAAAACAAGATCCTCCTTTTGCTTACGCTGTTCATCTGTCAAGGACAAATTAAATGATAAATTGGCCGTAGGGTCCATCTTGGGATCTAGTGGCATATCTTCCTCTCTGTCCTCTACCGTCTCCTCCACAGTGCCTGTCAGTTGGCTCGTAGGCACCACCTCCAGATATGCTCCGTTCTGTATAAACCCATTCGATTCATAAGTGACTTTACCGCTCTTTTTACGCCATTGAATATGAGCAATGCCTCCCTTGGACACACAGTTGGAAGTCACGGTCAAGTAAGAGAATACATCTTGGGGTACAAATCCAGTCAAGGCAGCCTGTGTTTCAAAATGGGTACGTTCCTTCAAGGCCTCCAACTTGATAATGACGGAAGCCAAACGATCCAGCGAGTCCTGCATATTCAACCCTGTCTTGGATACAAATCGCAGGTCGCTATGGAATCCTACAATCAAGCGAATCGCGTCTGTTGTCAAGGACTCTAGAGCCTTCACAAGCTGATATGTACGGTGCTGGGAGATCATGGCTAATGGTGCGAGTGAATCGATAAGTAGTGTACAGTTGGGGTTTTCCGTCGTCTTTTTCAGGATGGGTGACAAGATGAGTCTTTCCATGTCTTGTACATTTCGGACTTGGACATCCTGGGCCGTGTCGAGCGAAGGCTCATTATTCCAGCCGTGAGGATCGGTGTAAGCGTCCAAAATAAAAATGTTTTTTTGCTTGTTCGTAGCGAACTGTTGACGCCAAAATGTAGGTGAAGTTTCTGTCAAGAGCACAATCAAGGTTTTGTCTTCGTCAAGTGCTCGTTTACCAATGTCTGTTAAAATCGGTAAGGACGATAACCGAATTGTGTCCTTGACAAGAACAAAACATGAAGACTTTTTGTTGGTCAATAACTGTTCTAAACAAAGTGAAGTCATTTATAATATATTTTTTTTATATGTACACAAAAGTAAAAAAAAAAAAAGTTGTTTCACCAGTTTCTTCTGGTAAAACCTTCCCTGGAGAATTTAGTGGTCACATTAATTTATAAAAAAAAAAAAAGTGATAAAGCACTGTGTGTAGTCTCTTCGTATCTCAAATGCCCTTCCATTCGAGAGCCTACCCCTGTTCATCTTGCTATTACTCTTTTTGCCAACATTGCTTGAACATGGCATGGTCTCATAACTTCTTGGGATGTCTAAATCAATTTTCTAACCAAGCAATGATTCCTTATTGTTGGCAGGTCCTATATTTGAATAAGTAATTAATAGAAATATAGATGGTACAACTTGAAAACATCCAGAAAAAAAATAGGCATTTTCCCTGATGTAATGAGTATGAACAATAGTTGGGTATTAGAATACGACAATTTATTAGCTAGATATAAAACCGTCGTTCATTAGCAATGCTGTATGTATTTAAAATACGGTGTATTTTTTTAACAGATGTCTGTGTAGGCATCAGCTGAGCAATAGTCATTAAATTTAGTGGGTTCAACTGGAAGCATTGTAAAAAGATGTGTTATTCATATAAGGTATATGTTGCTTTTTCACATCATGCAGTAGTGGTGGGCAAAAAGGGGTAAAAATAGACTTTTTTTTTTTAATGAGCGGTCAATGAACTCTAGATCCGTTTGTGGAAATTGTAATATTCCTTTTTTCTCTCTGCCTTTGTATAGATAAACAATGACCATAGATGAACAGCCATTACGAGCGAGTAGTGTAAGGGATTCCTTACCTCCAGTCACGACAAGAAAGAAACCCCACAGCCGGACACAGTCCATCTCTACACAACCTGTGACGCAAAAAAAGAAACATAACCGAAGAGGCTCTTTACCTACGACGATTCATGTAGACCATACTAAATACTTGGATCCGCCCATGCGTTCGCCCTTTTTGGTGGCGCCTATACCTCCTCTACCAGAAAAGGGAGCGATTGCGATCCACATTGCCAATCCCAAATCCAATGCCATTGCAGCTAGTCACTACAATTTCAAGCATAAGACGGCCCTTTACAACATGGCTTATATCTTGACCTGGTATTTCTTTTCGACTTGTTTATCGCTCTACAATAAGAACTTGATGGGTCGAGACAGATTTAATTTCAATTTCCCCTTGTTGGTCAGTGCTATTCATGCTGGTATTCATTCAGTCATTACAGCCCTCATGATGTGGTTTGGAGGAAACCGATGGAAAGACACAACAGGTGGACACATGACGAAAGCAGACTATTTCTACAAAGTGGTAAAATAGAAGAGTTGTTTTGTAGGGATACTTGTTCTATTGTTACTAATTAAAAATTGCAGGTTCCATGTGGCGTGGCGGCTGCAGTGGAGATCTGTTGTTCCAATGCATCTCTTGTATATATCACACTTTCATTTTACACAATGGTCAAATCAAGTACACCCATTTGGGTTCTCCTATTTTCATTCTTATTTGGATTCGAGAAGCCTCGATTTTTACTTGTGGCGATCATTGGTTTGATGGTAGCAGGCGTTGTATTGACTGTGGAGGGTGAAACTAAGTTTGATATGCTGGGATTTACACTTGTGTTTGTAGCCTCCATTGTATCTGGACTGCGATGGAGTATGACACAATTGCTATTGAAGCATGAAAATATGGGGATCGGAAATCCCATTGCAACTCTGTATTACCTCAGCCCTGTCATGTTTATCACCATGCTTACCTTGAGCTTGATCTTTGAAAATCCCTTGCACCAATTTCAACATTCGAAGCATTTTGATACCTTTTCTCATATCATGGAATCCTTTGGCTTAATGTCCATTGGTGGTTTTCTTGGTAACATATTTTGTTTTTATCTTGACGTTAGTAAAAGGCAAAGGAAACTAATTTATACATGTATAAATAGCTTTGGCCATGACGCTGGCTGAGTTATACCTGATCAAGAGCACAAATACAATCACACTCAGTGTAGCGGGTATTAGTAAGGAGATTGTGATTATCATTTTGGCTGTCTTGATCTATGGTGACGTCTTGACTACCAAAAATCTATTAGGGTACGTATCGCATTGTCTAATACTTTTTTCTTTTACTTACAATGCAACAGTTTACTAGTGTCGATCATTGGTATTATTTCCTACAATTATTACAAGCTTTCAAAGGAGGACTCAAATGAAAAGGGACAATACCAAATGATTCCATTACATAATTCCTCTGTTCCGTCGCGAAATTTAGATGATTGAGCACATTTTTGTAAATAAAAAAATAAAAAATAAATGTCTGTGTAACCATGGCCCATTTGATCGCATTACTGTACATATTTTCTCCTCCCGCCAAGACATGTTGAATGATCAATTTTTAATAATACAATAACGGCTTAAAAAAAAAAAAAAAAAAAAAAAAAAAGAAACTATTTTGCGAAAAAAAATATAAAAAAGGTAATAGGGAATATGAAGCAGGTAAAAAAAAAGTATATGTATATAAAACGTTTTGTTTTTACTCTTCATCATCTGGAGGATATCCATCATCAACTAGTGAAAGATGTTAGCTATGTTCACAATTGTTATACAACATGTTTATTTTACCCTTTCTTCTAAACAAGGTAATTTCTTGCTGTTTGAAGTAACGACGATTCTCTTCATCAATCAGGACCAGGTTCAAATAGTATCTTGTAGAGAATTTTTTGTTTACATCTAATACAGAGATAGATTAGTACAACTGCTATAAAATATGGGTATATATTTACCTCTGAATGTAGGTGTTAATTCAAAACCGCCAAGGAATAAACGAATAGGAATTGTTTCGCCTATATACAATTAAGTACAATACACTCTATAAACCACTCTTTCTATTACCTCTAACAGGAGCACCATCCATGATTTCAAACTTGGTAATTGTTTCGCTCTCGTTATAAACATTGGGCACTATTCGTAATTAAAAAAAGGTTTAGGCTATCTCGTTTTTACGCCTACTCTTAATCAACTTACAGGCACCTGTGGTTTCACGTCGAATGATGGAGAGTTCCATTGTTTTAATCTTGATACGTACCAACAAAAAGTAAATTTTTCCTACAATCACATCCTTTAAATGGTACCTACACACAGAAAGGTTAATATCGCATAAAAGAATGACTTTGAATGCTTTACTTTGATTTGTTGTATTCAAATTCGATATGAAGACAGTCTTCAATACCAACTTCCATCTTGATTGAATTGTTCACTTCGATAGGCATTCGATAAGAATTAACCCACATGTCTCTTTCACGCATAATATCTGCTAAGCGACGGGCTACGGTAACACGGACGAAATATCTGTAATAAATCGTGAGCTTCTTTTTTTTTTTTTTTTTTTTTTTTTTTTTTTTTTTTTGGTAATAGGATGGGGTAAAAAAATCCCGAAAGTTGTTTACCTAAGCTTCACATTAATACCATTGTAGCATTCGTATTGCTTTTCGACATTTTTAAACTCGAATTCAAAAGCGGCATTTTGACGCAATTCACCAGGAGCAGCGAGTTCTTGCGATAGTGTTAAGAATTCGTGTGATTTTCCCTTGTCGTAAAAGAGTTCTGTATAAAGCATATAAGTCCCTTCTCTCTTTATTTTTTATTTTATTGTTGTATTTACCTATGCTACCGATAAATTCGACTTTAATACCGTTATGCTCCAGCTTTTTACCATCTCTCAAACTAATATTAACCTAATAAAAGAAAGAGATGAGTACTTTGGGGCGGCTTTCATCTCCAAGAAAAGGTGCTATTGTTTTACTTTTCCGGCAACAGATTCACCATCAAGAAAAACTGGGTAATTCTCCTTCTTGTCTTTGTCCACCTTGACTTCCATGTGCTTTCTTTGCTCTTCATTAGTGAATATAACTTCGATATCTACTGGTGTAGACAACCCGAAAAGACTCTATTGAAGCACCCAAGACATGAGTATCATTCTATCATGCATCCTCTTTCATTACTACTTTACCGCCATGGACATTTTTAAATTTTTATGTTACTTTTCTTTTTTCGAAAAAGAGAGAGAGAGAGAGAGGAGGAAAAAAATAAAGGGCCAGATTTTTTTCTGGTGGGCTGGCTGCTATTCCCCAAGCGAGTTTGAACCCCGTTCTGGCTCGGGTTTTCCCTCCCAAATGATGTCACTTGGTTCCTCCAAAGCCAAGCTTTTTGGATTTAACAAGGTGAAGAAAGGGTACAGTGAGATAAGTTTGTGTACCCTTTCCTTTTTTTTTATACATATTGCAAAAAACACCCACCAATTTAACTTGTAGGCGAGTTGGGCGGGATATGAACGAATGACTAATGCAATTTGAGGGGCTGGGATAGCACAGTTTGGTTGGGTTGAATAAATTGAAAAAAAAGACAATATGTAGATAACCGACAGACTAAAAAAAAAAAAAAAAGCATAATACAGTATATTTAGATATCAAGTCGATTTTGTTGATAGTGTAGTTTATTAGATTACAGAGATAATTGTAACTTTAGAGAACAAAAATAAAGCATCAGATACCACTGTTAAGCAATGCAAGAACGTAAAAACGCCAGAATACAAATAATTGGAAAAGTAGTTTTATATGTATAAGCGGTTGAAATTCATTTATAGCAATGATAAGGAAAAGTATATTAAACAATAAGATCAAATGAGGGAACACAAATGCTGATCAATTACGATGATGCACTATGGAAATTTTTAGTTCATATTCCGAAAAAAAAGGGTCCGTTATATGAGGAGTAGAAAACTTGCTTGAGTGTATTTATTTCGAATCCCAACAAAACGATTTTCTTAAATGAGACTGAATCACAAAGTATATGTTTAGGTTGCGAAGCAGAGAATGATTATTATTTCTTTCGTTTTTGCAAATGATAGTAGGAGGTCTTCAGGCTGTGTGAAGAAGAATAAAGGAGTTAAAAAACTCTTTTGCCTTTCCTTCATCGTATATTTAACTCCATTTTCTTTTTTTTTTCCAGCTGTGCTTTTTAATTCAATGAATAGTATATCTTCATCGGTATAATTGGTTTCGATATCTTTGCTTTGGCTTGATGTGATTTGGTCCTCTTTTTTTTAGCAGTGATTTGCTTTGTTCCTTGATAAATTCAAAGCTTTCCTTGACGTAGCCAATTCCATGAAAATCCTGTCAACCTTATCAATATCATCTATTTTTTTTATTATGGATTTTAACAACGGCTCCATGGATTAGATGGTTAGGTTTGTTTTGCCTGTCTTTTGTTAAGTCCTTGGATATTTCAAACAAGAGACGTACGATGGGATCAAGTTGGTATTTTAATGATGTCAATGATGTGGAGCCGCTTGTCAGAAAACAACCAATGACTACCATTGGATCCATTAGATCCGTTAGATTAATATCGATGTGCAATAACAGACTGAACTATGAAATACTAAGAGTCAACTTCCATGTTGCAATCACTAATAACTGTTTTTCTGATAGAAACTTACATCAGCACCAACAAAATAACTATGATAAAATAGGGTGATCAAGCAATTATGGTTGTTTTTTAATATTGAAGAGGATTTGACGATATCGTTCGAATCTAGCATCTCTCATAGCATCTGTTGGTTTCAATTATGTATTCTGTCACAGTAAAAATAGCCAATGATCATCCAAAACGCAAGCCACCAAACTGCTTCTTAGACGGCCATTCAATCCAGTCTAATAATAATATGTCGTAAAAGAGTTAAATGTGTAGAGAACAATGTTGATACCATTGATGCCATATTTGTGGCGCGACTCATCCTAACAATGGAGGCTTTGGTCTTTAATTAATAATAATAGATATAATAATGCGATAATTAGACACCTTCTATTTTTTTGACGGAATAATTAATAGTGTTTATACTTGTCTGTTTGACATCATCGTGTTTATACATTTCCATAAGATTGTTTTTATCTATTTGAAGTCTTGTATCATTACTTTTTTTTTTTATTTTTAATGAACGTTGTTTGTTTTTCCTTCATCACTCACATCTCTGAATAAAATCCGGAAATTACATATTTGATATTCTTTCCAATCTACAATTCAATATCGCATGTTGCTCAATCATATTTCTGCTATTGTTGCATTTTTTTAAAACTTTTCTCTGCACGAATATGTCTGTTCTGATGTTTTGTGTCACATCACACTTTTACTGCGAAGGTACGCCCTTGATCAAAAACGCTCACAGACAAAACATGAATTATATATTCAGTAATAAGTTAATAATCTGTCCCGTATCAATAGCCATAGAAAGGCGGAACAATTAGACCAAACCAGTCAGACCTATAGTTAGGCCAACAGTCCCAAAGCGGCCGAAGCAGGTAAAAAAAAAAAATAGAGAGTAGTTCAACCTATAGACTTGCTTTTCGGATCTTTTAGAAATTTTCTTACGATTCATTTCATTGATTTAGGCAATTTTTTCGACTTCAGGATATTGTTTAGCTATTTGGACCAACTCTTTTTTTATTAGTGTAGCAAATTAATCATCTCAACAAAAACAGACACATCGTTATTATGATTCCATTATTTTTAACGTTATTGTGACTAAAAAACACTAAGTAATACGCCATAAGTGACGTCCAATACCACAGTGCGTACCAGGTACGCCAGCCAGAAAAAATGACCATGTATGTTTAAAAAAATGTCATAGTAGTATGGCGTATTCGATTTCTTTTTAGAAAAATGCTTGATGTTTATTGGTGACGAACCATCAAAAAAATAAAATAGACGTGGCCTTAGAATAAAAATACACCAGCGAACAGTGATTGTGCCAACTTCGAAAAAAAAAAAGTAACAGTGGTTAAAAGGATTTACTAATGACTGTTTAAAACACGAGACTTGGCATTTTCTGCCACAGATTTGTTTGCTGAAACGAGGCTTGCTGACATTAGGGAATCCAAAAGAGTTAATATATTATTGAGAGAATGGTTACCCAATATGTTGCTGGTGTATTCATTTTCATGGTATAAGTCAACGATTTGTTACTGTAGCCCAGCTGTTTACAGTTTGAGCTCAGCTAAATACAGTGTGTAAAGTATGACGCAATATTTTTTTTACAGACTTCATCTGACCATCTTGGCATTTCACAAATAGAGTGTTGATATATTGCTTTGGGAGTGTCGGATCAGTGCTGGAATGAGCCAAATTAGCAACATCATCAAATAATTTGGAGACAATTTTTGTTGTCGATTTGCGGCCTGTGTCAGGTGCTTCATATAATGTGAAAATGGTATATGGCTGTGGTCGCAAAATAATTGATGCACGACAGAGGAGGTAGGTTGAGGTATATTGAAAATTCGATCGTAATTATCGAAGATCAAAGCGAAATAATCTTGTCTGCATTAGGATCACCTGCCAATACGTTCGCTATTTTAATCAATTTATTATCCAAGAATACCGAAGTTGTCAAAGCAATGCTATCATCCAATTCGAAAGGTGCAGTGGCTCCCCCAATAATCGCTTGATGAACAGAATCACTTCTGAGGCTTGAAGTGATTAGTGGATTTAATATTTTAGTCCAGCAAAGACCAGCCAGCCAGTATGATTACGCCTATTTATAGTGCAATCCCTGCTACTTACAGTCTGCCCATCCAGTTAGTTCTAAACAAGAACCCAGTCTAGAAGGCCATTATACTATAGCAAAGACTAGCTGTAGCTGTAATATCGCAAAAGCTGCAATGTATCTGTAAAAAGAAACTAATAAGTTGGTGATTTTTGAAAAACAAAAGTCATTATAAACTTACCTTTTCACAAAAATGATTACATTCATTAAAAAAAGAAAAAGAAAAGTATGTTAAGGGAAAAGAAAAAGGAAGAAAAAAGTTTTATTAGGTGTTTATTTGTAGGCTGATAAACAAGAGCATATGTCAGGGTGATTTACTTGCTTACTTAAAATAGAATTAGTAAATACTCTAGGCAAATTGGAACTTGGTATTTGTCTATCTACGTTTCAGTAGTAGCTTGTAATGATAGTAAAGCATATTATATAGAAAGCGAAAATCGATCATCCTATGAAGTTTAGACGATATGGCATGTCAATCGACGTAAAGGCTGATGTATATTTTAGATCACTTGATGGTCTGCACATACGTTTGAAAAAACTACACCCCCCAAAAAAAAATCAAATAAACATTTCTTCACTTCACTTTTAATTGTCATTAATTATACTTGAATGTACCCATAGAGAGAATACTATTGATATGAATGGTTCATTTACTTATATCCCCAGTATTGCTTTATTTTCTCGTTATGATCTTTAGCCTTCATTCAGAATTCAGCCTTTTTTCATGCATGTCAATGATTATCAAACTAATAAAACTGAACGATAAATTTTTAACAGATTAACTGTAGCTTTGAGTTTAGTGGTCGAGGCCTTCCTCAAAGTTTTTAAAGTACGTATGCCAAGTAGTCTTCCCTTCCGAGCAAATGGGTTCTTTTGAAGTGTTTTGTTTGTTTGTAGATGTAGTTAATTAGAACTAGGTCAAAAGTAACTTAGGGATTAGTGATTGGTTACTCTTCGTTTTCGCTGGTGACATTATTTATGAAAATTTATTCTTACAGGCTGCTACAATTATCATCAATAATGACATATTTTTTACCAGAAATCAAGCCATGCATAACCCTATTTAAAAATTATCGCTATTCATTTTGAGATAGATGATGACATCGGCCTGTTCTAATCACTAACTTAATGTATTAAGCAACGTCCATTGTTATACGATGACCATTGTAATTTTTGAAATAGTTACCACATGAAAGAATAATCATAATTATTATTTCTTTTAAAATTGCTTCTGCTTTAGATATTAGCAAAATGG